TATAATCAAATAATGATTGTTTTTAATGTTATTATAGTTTTGAAATCACTGCCTAAATGTCTCATTTAAAAAAAAAAAAAAATATCATATCTGTTAAATTTTCTCATTATTTCATAGCATCACGACTATCATCTTTTATTTTACGTTCTTTGTACGCAAAATTAAGTTCCAAATTTTGTGCTAGATTTTTTACCGTTTTATCAAAGTAAAGATATTTGTACAAAATTACGTGAAAAAATGCGCGAAATGCGCAAAAATGCTTTAATGCAATATATTAAATCCTATTTGGAAAAAACTGTGGCTTTCATATCTCATCACTATACAACGTATCACATTTAATAATTAAAAAGAGTTATGTGATACAAACGCCATAGGTTTCAGTGTTAAAGTTAACCAGATCGTCCCTACTCTTTTTTGCCGACATGTCGGTGACGCGCGCCCCGCCCATTGGGTTAGTCAATCTCTTATAAGGTCCATGGTAAAGATCAATTTGGGATTTTATCATCAGTGTTTTTTTTTTTTTTTTTCCCTCCTCCCAGAAGAGAGGGAGATCACGTGACAGGAGACTTATGATGGCGTATTAGAGATAAGTAAGGATTTCGAATTACTCGTCAGTGGGAATTTTTAAGTGTTTGCTGTCAGTTTGAATCTCAGCATATTCTACTAAAGAATAGAATCTTACTTCCGGAATTAATGTTTAACGTAGTTACAGCCATTTTGTAAGCATTTACAACTATTCTGTCTTCTAAATCTTGTACCTTCTTTTAACACAAATACAGAATGGCGTTACTTATTTTGTTAGTCTATTCTCCATATTTTATGTTTCGAAAGGCGCGTGCGAATTGTTTTGAATTATTCTATAACGCTAAAAGTTTACTTGAAATAAAATGGTTCGTTTTCCTTTTTATTTTACTCAAATGTTTTTTATGAACTCAAAATTCCTTACCCCGTCAACTTTTTCATTTTGGGTTATTAAAAAAGAAGAAAGGGAAAAAACCTTGAAAGTACTAAATTTTTAGGTATTTTCAGGAGAGCTGGTGATAGCCGTCAATAACTCATCGACTATTTAGCCATCTCATCACCGAGAGCGTTGCTCAGAACGCATTACAGGCTAGACTAATGGTTTTCAATATGTTTTGTCGCATACACCTTTTCATCATACAGACTGTAATTGACTACTCTTCTCTCCTTTCCAAAATTCGAAAAATACACACGTATATTTTGATTTAGATTATTTTAACGTGTTTTTTTTAATTAATAAAAGAAAAGTATAATAGAAAGTGTCGATGAATACTTAAACTAGAATTAAACTAATTTTTTGGATTCATAAACGAAGAACTAAAATGCTTAATAGCTGAATAAAAAGATTGACCGCATCGGTCTAACCGCTTGGCTAGACCAATACCAACACTTACAAGGAGGGTTACAGGACAGGAAGAAGCTGGGTAGGAAAGCAAAACTTCCAAAATGGTTTCACAGCTATAGTCCACTGCACTAACTCTATAGTCCCAGCCCAGTTTTGATTGAGCACACCTCGAGAAGCTAATCCAAAGGTCTCCCACCTCTCTTCCCCAACCACCAAACCATGGAAACCTTTCTTACCTCCATGCACCAAACCAATCGAGATGACTTTAGGACCTCCAGCATTTTAAGTGTCCCCATTCTGTACAAGCACTAAACGAATATTATGTTTTCTCCAGGATTCGAACTCCGGCCCAACGATAGAGCATTATACCATTAACCATTATACCAGCATTGTGTGAACACAGCAAGATTATAATATTTTAAGCGTTAAAATAAATATTCAGATTTCCTTTGCTCGCATCAGTCTAATAGTGTTTCGTTTTTGCTTAACGGTACTGAATTCTTAATCACTTGTAATTTGCTTTGTAATTATACATACGAGTATATTACGAACTATTTACATTAGTTACTATCTATCTGTTTTTTTAACAAATATGTGTTTAAATATTACATAAGGAAATCTGCATTTATTTATTTTTTAAATTTCTTTAATCTGAATTTATTTATATAGCTTGGCCCATGAAGTGCCAAGCGGTAAAAGTGCTAAACACCAGTAGTTCGACGCAGCTGCAAATCCCGCGAAGAACCTCACTGGGTGGGTTAATTTATTTGGCTATTTGAATAGGGCAAAGCTACAGGGCTATCTGTCTAAGAGAAGGGATGCCTTCGTTGAGAGAAAACAATCTTGCAACGAGCCCGTTCTCTTGGGTTCGAGAAGTCGAAGTACCAGTATTCAGCGGCCGTAACTGCTCGGCTACTAATTGGTCTAGGCTGTATGGGACTTTTCATGCTTTTTCCCGAGTGCCAAATGAATAAGAGCATCTCTTCCGTAGGGAAATATTTCTCGAGTGCTTTGACATAATCTAAATAATCCAATCAATTCCAAACCGATTTTATTAACTTTAGCAAGCATTTTAGGTGTGACAAGCACAAGTCTTAAATTCTTGTCCTATATCTCATTTGTAGATTTTCTTACTTTTCACCCCTTTCTAAGCTTGGCGCATTTTTCCTATAAAATTCGCTTTTGTTGTTAAATTTTGATGACAGTATTTCATGAGACAGTTGCACTGAGTTATTTTTATACAAGAAATCTTCACGTAACCGCATCTTGGTTTTACCACATTTTAAATTACTCTTTAATATCGGTCCGAATGGATGTAATGTTCATGAATAAAATATATCTGCTATAAAATGTCTGAAAAGTCTGGAGTTAAATTTCAATCGATACTTTCTTTTTGTTATAAGCCCAAAGGAAATATTAACAAATTTTACTTTTGATGTGTTTCGTTTATATGTTAGTTAAGTTCTGAATTTACGCGAACCTTTGTTTATAGAAAAGTGATTAAAACACTTTATTTAGGAATATTGTTAATCTAAATTCTTGATTAAAAATAATGTAATTAAAAATTGTTTTCATTTTTATTTTACTTTTGAAATAGAAAGTTGTTGTGTAATAATTATGTGATCGGTGGATTCTTGCAAAATTATGTGCTTTTAACCATTGTATAAAGCAATGATATTTAATTAATATTTAACCCCTTGTTTTATTTACTTGGTGGCATAGGATCGCCAGAATAAAGTTTAAGATTAGAGTTTCTATTTTGTACAGACTTGAGTTTTAAGGTTAAGTCTGTACAAAATAGAAAGTTAAAAGATTAGGAAATAAATTATCTTATCTTTTAATATACAATTCTTGTAAATCTCTACAACGCTGGTTAAGTTCATACAGGTATTTGGCATAGAATTTATTTTTTGGAATATTGTTCAAGTCTCTAACTACGATTTTCAGAGTCTCTCTTAATACATTGAATTCTTTTTAGAAATCTTTATAAAATCCGAGGTCACCATCTGTCCCTTAAATTGTTTGCGTACTGTCTCTTTGCAATCAAAAAAGATCCCGGTATAGTTTGTATTCGAGATAAATGAAACCGAATTTTCTGTGGCCATGTGAACCTTTTCCAGCCCAAGTAGATGGATTTCCGGTTAGTCTCAGTATCGGTTCAACTTATCATCTGGCATTTAAATAGGGAGATGGCAGTTTTTAGCAAGAATTGTCGAACTTTTTCAATGTTTTCGAGACTGCGTAGGGTTACTCTTGGTTTCATCATCATCTCTTGGTCCATCACGAAATCGTGGATACCAAAGTTAGATCATTGGATCATGTTAATGCTTGATCCCTATGTGCTTTAAGTAACTTTTGAAATGTCCCTTTTTTTTAATGTTTTACTACAAACTTTATTGCTATTCTGCTGTTGTTTTTGATCCTCTGTATCTTGAACTGCAGCTAAGCCAGACCCACGAAATTTTATCACGTCCAAGAGAAAAGGTGGCATCTGGCTTGGACACTTTATAGATGATAGTATAAGAAGCTCAGTTTTCACTGACAATCCCTTCGGGGGGGGGTTGTCTGTTAATCCGAGGTCTTCTCATCTTTTGTTGTCCCACAGCTTCTGGAGAGGATTTTCAGCTTGACAGTATTTTAAGTGCATCCGTGCATTTATAAATATTCATGCCTTCTTTGAGATTCTAACCCAAGTCCAAGACTGTTGTGTCAGTCGGCTTTATAGACGTACCGGCAAAGTGACTGTTGCTGTTTTTTTGCTCAACAACGAATCCGTAATAGTAGATTTTCATTGAATGCAAGCAAACGATTAACTGCATAGAGAATTCTATCCTTAAGCAGACTATATTTTAGGAAAGTAAGGTGAGATGTCATATTAATAAATGCTGTGAATTACGCTTGCTTGGCAGCTCTGCTGGAATTAAATATATGTATATAAATATATGAATATAAAATCCTAAAACTGTGCGTGCGAACTATGTAATTCCTCAGAGTCGCCATTTTAAAAAGGTGTTGCACACCTGTGTTTGAACCTGCTCCTTGTATAAGCTTACAAACTTTGAATCGTTGCTCAGTATGTGTGTCTTATTCATTAGAAGCCTTTATGCTTACAGAATTAAAAATGTTGCACAAAAAATATATGTACTATTGTTATGATTTGTAAAATCTGCGCCATTACTATGTATGTTTCTATTTCTTTTTCCCCCCTTTCTCATTTAAATAAGTATACTGAAAATTATTTTATTAACTCACAGAAGCACTTTATCGATTACGTTTTTTTTAATTGCTCAATTTCATTAAATTGCTCAACAACAGAAATTATTTGTTCTTTAAAGAGCAGTAAACAAGTTACTGCACAATTATTATCAAACTCATGATTGCTTTGTTAAGTGCTGAAATGAAAGTTCTTTGACGTGATCCAGTGTTTCGAAATGTAATATTATCGCTCCCTTGGCTCTTCGAACATTCCCGGCCATTTTTTTCCACCCTCTAGACATCTTGGAATTTTTTTGCCTGATAATGCAAACTTTGAACAGATAGCACGAGCAAATGTTTATCGTTATGTGACGTCAAGCTTTTTGGAAGGTTATATAATAATTATGAAGGCTTGTCATCAATTCAGTATGCTTATATCTGTTCTGTTGTGATATTACTTATTTTCAAATCGCTCTTTGCAATTGCTTTGACTGTTTTCAAGTTATTGATTTTAGCTTTTAAGTAAATATATTATTTCTAGGTATTCTGAGTTAATTTAGAACTTCGTTTTCATGGCTCGCCATGTGAGTAAGTGTCAGTGTATTTTTTAAATTTAGGTTCATCGCATGCGATTTCCGTGATTGTTCGAATGTTCTTTTGTTTTATTATTCTTCAGCGCAGCTTTACAATTTATAAGCATGTTTTGAGAACTGTAATGAATGTTTGCCTACTGATATTCAGTTGACTGTTAAGTTTAGAATGCGCATTTTGCAACTAATTTATCTTTTTTATACTTATTTTAAGCAATCGTTTTTAGTTTTTTTCAGCGGTAGCAAAAATAACTAGGTATTAAAATAACTCCAAAAATAAATGGAAGAAAGAAATATTTTGTACTGTAATCAAAAACTTAGCTAAAGAAGTTTAATCTGAATATTTTATGACTGTGAAAGTTTTGTTGGAAATATTTTATGGTGATCTTTATCTTTCTTTAAATATTTCTAAATTCGTGTTAAATTCGATCAAATCTCCAACCAATTTGCTTCCTCGTCCAGAGCTTAAACATTGAGCCGGAGCCCATTTTTAATTTTTGAGATAAATCATAATTCTAGCCAAAACTCTAAAATAAGAGGACTCTGTCACATCTCTTATGTAACTGAACCATAATTTCAGCAGAAAATTTTATTTTTAATACTAAAATTAAAATAAAAACCGATTCTAACTGCTAAATACATGGCTCTCCTTGGGAAACGAACCCTCGAACGGAGGACTTTCAAGAAGAGAAGTCCTCATTCACATGTGAACATTCCTGCATTACCTGAACTTTTAGTCGATGTTCTTCCAGCAATCTGCAGACGAGTATGGCTCCAGCACTATGGAACCCTAGCTCACTTCAGCCAGAACGTTTGGAATCACCTGGGCGCTGTCTACGGCGAGCGCCCAGGACTGGATAGGACGGGCAGGGCCAGTTCCCTGGCCACCGCGTTCTCCTAATTTAACGTGCTTGGATTTCTTCTTTTGAGGTCATATTAAAGGTCTCGGGTATCCGGGAGTCCCGTCACATCTGCAGAAGATCTTGTTGCCCGCTTGTCTGTTGTTGCTGGACATGTGCTCGACATGCCTGTCGAGTTTTCTAATGTACGCCGATCCATGCGCCGTTACGGTGAGTCTTGTATCGCTGTTGGGGGCCGCTGTTTCAAGCACCTATTTGTAAACCGTTAATATTTTTTTTCTTTTGTCTTTACTTGTCTTTTCAGTTTCCTGTGATTCAGACTGCTTTACGTGCTAGCGCTGTTATACCGCACACACATGTCTATGCGAAATCTGCTTATTCAGGTTCCCTCTACCTGCCTTTACTTTTTTGACATATAGTTTTGAACCACCCTGTATAGTCAAGCGGAGACTGATAAAGCTATTTCGTAGTTTTTAAGTGAAATTGGAATTCCTGCAGGAGTCCCAAATAAGACGAAGTCCAGGATTTCATTTTATTATTTAACTATTTACCATTTGTTTAATAACGTATTAATTTTTTATTAATTCCTTACATTTTATTGAACTATAATTTTAATTATTCTGTTTTAATAATGAATAATTTTACTATTTTATTAGTTATTCTATTTATATTTATTTATTTTTGTTCCTCTTTCGCGACCGTCTTTCATAGGGTTCCGGCGTTTCTTATTTTAGAAATGAAGCCTTGTACCCTTAAGAGAAAAGTCTTTTGACTAGTATGGTTATGCAGTTTTCCTGCTTGTATACAGACGTGACTGTCACAAGTTTTAAACAGCAGTGTAAAATTCGCTATTCTTGTGTTGTTATAAATAAATGTAAATTTAGTAGGTTGCGATCAGAATTAAAATGTTGTGCTCTATAATGTGACCATTTTGCATATATTGAAACATTATCCTTTTGCACATAATCGCCTATCTGAAAATAGAGAGAATGAATGATGCAAAAGATTGCTAAGCGTATCGAAAGCAAAATACTTTTATCACATAGTAGTAATATTTATCAATAATTTTATCAATAATATCAAAATTTATCAGTTACACATTGTTTATTATTTTCTTGTCATATTATCTGTCAGTACAGCATATTTAAACAAAATATAACGGAAGTTAAACTAAACGTTGCCTTGACTCTTCAGTACAAATTTTTAGGTCATTCCCCCTTCTCTTAAATCAGCTTTTTAGACTTGCAGTATAATGGGTTAGATAAACAGTTTCGCTTAAAATTTATGCCTATTTTAATATTAAAGGTAAGCCATGACAAGCAATCAAAAAGAAGCTACTACAGATTAAATAAATCCTGTTCTCTGTTCTTATTAAGTCTTTCTTCAGAATATAAACGGTTAAAAAAATTATTGCATTGCATCATTGCCTTTACTCTCGTGCAAGACAAACTAGTTTCGGAAATACTCAGCCTTAATGTAAAATTCCGTTTTAGTTCAGATAAAGCTCCAATAAAAGCAATTTGTGTACAGCATTACTGATCCTTCCTTATATGTGGTAACACACCTCTCTCCCATATTTCTGTAGATCCCAACCCGATTTTTCTCATGCCTGTCCAAAATAAATTTATTTTAGATCCTAAAAAACTCTTCCTGGGATAGAGAGACACCATTTCGCTAAACACAAAATTTTTTTTCTTTATTATTTTAATTCACTTATGATGATTTTCTACTCCGGATATCGCATTTTTATCAGCCCCTCCCCTCAAAATTTTGATGCGATGTTTTGCATTATGATGGCATTTCAAGCAGTGAACCATTGTTGTGCATTCGTTCTTGATTTCTTTCCCCGTTTTCTGACTTGTATTAAGTTTAATCAAAGGCTTTTTAAAAGTTATTGTTCTCAGGGAGGGAAAAATTAATTTAAAAAAAATTATAATTGCCATTTAACAGCAAAATCTTTAACTGCTTGCGCAATGGATATATATTGTGACAGTGCTACTGCAGAGATTATCATTTAAAACTTCTTTCAGAACAGATTTTTAAAAAATTTATATGCAAATAAGAAATATAATAGCATATTTATTTATATCTATTTTCTTTTTTCTAGTTTCGTTGTAAATATGTCACCATCACTCTTACAGTCACAATGATATCATGATCATTTGCTTTCCATCTTATTGAATGCACAATATAATTTTGTACACGTATTAATTACAAAAGAAATGGTTCGCAGGCATTTATATTTTTTAAATATTTTATTTATACATGTACTTCCATTACAAAATGTTTCAAAATAGGGTAAAGAACTCCCCCATTTTAACACTTCAAAGATTCTTCTGACATCTTATTCATTTCGCTTTTAAATTAAATACAGAACTAACTATTTTTACTTGAAAAATTCATATAGGGTCTTCATGAACAAATTTTGTTGACTTACTTTTCCATGCCTTATTGCTGGTCGAAGTTAAAAAAATTTCGCAGAATTTAGGCAACAGCAATTATAGTATAAAAGTTGCGTGTTTTGGTGATTAATATTGTTCTGGGTAAAACAGAACTCGTGATTAATTTTTTTCTAGTTACATGAAAGTATTAATTAATCGTCAAATTTTTCACATTCAGAAAAGATTTTTTTATTTAATATATTAAAAGACAATTAAAATTTGGTGATTCGAATTTTTGCTGTATGGACATCTTATAAAAAATGTGTGTTTCATATTGATTGAACTTATCCATCCACTATGTTGAAATTGTTTACGTGAAATTCTCCTCCTTATTTTGAGGAACTTGTATTGAAATAGGTTTCTAAATTTAATAATACTCAAGGTAATAAAGGCTGCATCTGTTTTTGAATACCCTGTGCAGCTCAAAATATTACTTTAGCGATTGTTCAGTCATAATTGTCTTGCATTATTCCTTCTGTTATTATTTAATGAATAACTTACTATGCATTAATACTGTAATTACTTATGGATATTTAACTAGAGGCACATCCCAGCTTCACAAATTTTAAAAAGTTTAATTAAATCCGACCTTTTTTTCAGTAACGGGAATTTTATAGTACTTGATAATTAAATAGAAGTGGGTTTTTAAATATTAAAAAGCTCATTATGCTAATATGAATTAGTTAAACACTTTAATCACATAAATTGAAATATTTTATGATGGTTAATATTTCCAGAAAATATACCAAATTTTAATAGTGTCTTTTTATAGGAAAGAAAAGTTTCAGTGTAGAAAATATATTCATTATATGAATAAAATCACGTCATGGATTTTAATAATTTCGCATAACAAGAACTTAGGAGAGGAAAACAATAAGATGCATGTTTTAATGTTCTGTTTTAAATATTTATAAATTTAAAAATGAATTCTTCATATGTTCACAGGTAGAACTCTGATATTAATAGTTAATATGGCTTTAACAAGTTAAAACATTATACTGTAATTAAGACACAATAACATGCCGAATAAATACTAATTCAGAAGTCAAACAACAAAAATCAACGTTATATTTACAAAATTTTCGCAGGACTAGTTTCGATGGTTTTAACGAACCACCATCCTCAGCTGCAAAACCGCAAATGAACAAGATAGGAAATAATGATTAGATAAGATAAGAAAGCCTGGACAAGAATAAGCAAGTGGTGCCATCTGTTGGTGAAACCAGAACTAAAACATAATTTCTTTAAAGGCCGAAGGCAAATTTCTGGGAAAATTTTGTAAATATAACGCTGATTTTTGTTGTTTAACTTCTGAATTAGACGTTATACTGTATTTATATAAAAATGTTTTGGTTTCCCAGAACCATAGTGATTGGTTAGAGACTTTGGGTGCTGGTAGTTACAGTTAGATTTCTTATAACATGTTCAATTTTGTGTCAAAAATATCCCAAAGTATGACATTTAAGGATCTTGTAACCCTCTGTCCCTGCTACTAGTCTTTCAGAACAGCAGATTTTGCTCTTTTATATTCTTCTTGGCATGGTAATCACATGTGCTTAAATCAGCTGGATTTGAAGCTTGATCCACTTATGTAGAATCTGTGTTTTTTAATCGCTGTAGACTGATCTAAGCTGATAGAATCTTTAATGTTAATGCAGCCACCTATTTTATTCTAAAGTATAGTTTGCCCTAATTATCTTAGACAGAATATATATGTGTGTATGTGTGCATGTTTATGATTGTGAATAAACATGGAATCTTTTATAAAAGTGCCAATAGAATAATAGGGATAACATTGCTGTATGATTAGTTATTTTCTGTAACTCAATTTCAGTACCTAGAGCTTTAACAGCCTACATGTATAGGGTGCAGCAGCGTTCATAGTAGGATATTAAAAACACACCATAAGGCAGTAATTGTAATTTATTTACTACCTCTTATGTCAATTAATAGTTAAAGGTATGCCATTTACTAATGTGCAAGTCATTGTCCATTGCGTGGATTACTTTTTGAATATAATGCCTGTCAAATGATGCTCCTTTTTGCACAACACATTCATCTAGTCAGCAGTGGAAGCTGGTCATAACTCGGCGTAACGTATTCCCTGGGACATTGCCGACGGCAGTTCTGATGCAATCCTTCAACTCAGGAATGGTTGCACAATGTGTTTGGAAAACTTCTTGCTTCAGGTGGCTCCAAAGGAAAAAGTCTGCACATGAAAGATCAGGTGAGGGAGGCGGCCAGGAAATGTCACCAAAACGGGAAATTACTCTACCTGATCGCAATGGTCCATCCATCTGAAGCTTTCCCGTGATGTCTTAAGTTGAATGTTGCCGAAATAGACGCTGGGTAGCAATAACAGAGTACTTATTTTTGAAATAACTTTCAACCGCAAAGGCACGATGCTGTGCTCTCCACCAATCCATATCGCTGTCACACTCGAAATGGCAGTTCATTAGTACACGAATGCGGCACGAGCTGGCGCGCATTCATGCAGTACGCCATTGTGCTATGCAAGTCAAATTACGCTATGAACGCTTCTGCACCCTGTATATGAGAATGAATAAATATTATTAAAAACTTGTATAAAAGATTGCACTTCCTTTTGTTGATAACATTTTGATCTTTATAATAACCTTAATAATAATTAAAAAAATAAGTATATATTTTATATGGAAATAATTAAACATAAATAATGTGCTTAGTTATTAAAATTATTTATTTATAAAAATTATCAACTGAAATATGAGTTTCATTCATCTTTTATGCCGTGTTAATTTTAAAATATAATTCTCTTTTAATAAAGCATAAATTGATTTACATAGTTTCTTTAAGTAGTAGAATAAATATGTTTAAATTTTAATGTGCTTTGAAGGAATGGTCAAAAAGTGCATATAGAGTTCTTATTATGTGTGAGTTATTTTTTATAAATAATTTTTTCCCTTATTTAAAGAACCAGCAGAAGTCTACTAATGTCACATATCAAGCTCATCACGTCTCACGAGACAAAAGAGGCCAAATCATGGGTCAAAGGGCAGGCTTCAGAGGTTGCACTATTTGGTTCACAGGTAAATAAAGTGTTTTGCTTTAAGTTGTTTTTGTTAAAAGTGTGGAAGTTTTATGTTATTCATTGATCTATATGTAAAAGAAATAGATAGGCTATATATATAGTATAATGAAATTAAAATAAATAGTTAATAATTACTTTCTGCATGTTTGTAATATATATGCAATGTAGTTTTTGTTGAAAGTGAAACCTATTCACTTTTTAGTCATGGCCGAGAAAAATTGCTGCATAGACCTAACTGGAGCAAAAAATCACAGCTGCCTTACTGGTTAAAACATCATTTTTATTTTGAACAGGAACAGTTATTCAGAAATACATTTTACATTTTTGCTTAAATTGATACTGCAGTAGGAGTGCTAAACATGCCCCACAATTTCCATATATATAGTATACGCATAGATTATAGAAAGATTATAGAAAAAGAAGCTTAGTGAAGAGACATGACTTTCCTTGGCATAGCAAGCAGCAAAATAGTGATATGTACTAATTCCATTAGTATTTATGTGTTCAAAAAGTCTTTGTTTAAATTCTGAGCAGCAATTGGCTAAAAGATTTCCCAGTGCAGAAAAATCACAGGGAAAGTGTGATGAAACATGCTGCAGAGTGACACAGTGGTGCAAAGCTTATCTTTGCAGAGGGCATGAGTTCATTTAAAAATAAGGAAGTTAAAAGTCTGTTACCATTTGGTTCCAATTAAATTTAATAATTTTGTTATATATTTCATACTTTGCATATATATTTGTTTTTATATTTTTCATATGAGAGAATAAAATTATATATAAGGGCTCATCTGCAAATTCATGAGCTCTGTTCAGAGTCTGAGTTCATTAGATGTTCTGCAGATTTCATTTTTGAAATAGCTGCCTTTACATTTTATGCTATACTAGCTTCTCAAGTACAATAAGGTTTAATGCATGATTGCTTCCTCTTCCATGCTTAACTTCGTACCTCTTCATTCTTTCATAAGTTATGGAAATGTCCAAATGTCACAGGCTGCGTAGTTTGGATCGTATAAAGAAAACTTGATTGCTTGAGGGAAGATTGCACATAATTTTTTTACCAAAGCTTCCATAACCTGTGATTACAGCCATATGTGATCCAGTATTATACGAATGAAAAAATCATTTTAGAAAGCATTTGAGGTCTTTTTTCAAATTGTTCCTTTCACAATATTACCATAATAATGGTTATATATGATTTGCTCCTTTGGAAGTTAGTGCTGTAGTACTATTTCAGAAATATAAAATAAATAAATATATAAATAAAATAAAATAAAAATAAATAAATTTTTAAGGAACCAGAAAGTGACTTTTTTATGGGAAGGTATTCTATATAAGTATCCATATATAGAATTACTGCTTTGGTGTAGTATTGTAACATGTGATCTAAGACTAATGAATCGTAATTATTCCAAATATTCAGGTCTTTTTTTAGCCATTGAAGAAATGCCTTACAGTCCCAAACAGAGAGGAACTTCAGTTCTTCATTTTACCAGCAGGGCACCTGTCTTGCACAAACAGAAGATATTTTCAGGTGTTTTGTAGCAGTATCGTGTCATTTTGCTTTGCGAGTATTAGCTGGCATGTATTTGTCTTTCTGTCTATAGATATATATATTTCAATAAACTTATTTAAAAAGTTGACCAAAATTTAGGATTTTTATCTGTCTATCTATATATATATGCATGCATGTATATATATTTAGCTTTCTAAAATGTGTCTGCTTTCTTGTAACTCTCAGTTTTCCCAAATGCTAAAGGGTGCCTACTTTTCAGCTCTTTTTGTACACTTTTACATTCTTTAAAACACATAAATTGGCCATCTGAATATGGTTAATCTGCCTGTTCCTTCTTCATTTTCATTATATGCTACTTTGATTATTTTAAATACATCATGACTACTTCTGATACAAGATGCAGTAGTCTGGTAATGAATGGTATAGCCTTCTTACCTGACACTATAATGCATAGTATAATTTGACTTGAACAGTGAGCAAGTTAAATGACAACTTTGGCTTTATATACATACATTGACAAAGCAAGGCACAGGATATCTTCATGGGCGTCAGTTGCAGAATTACTTCCATAGAATTAATGCATTATTTCCATTTCAAGTACAGAATATGGAGAGGATAATGGTGAGGACCTTAAACCAGTAAATAAATAAGTGTGATGAAAAATCAGTGGAAGAATATCAGGATACTAACTCTCAAATAAAGAGGTGTGAATAACGTCTAATTAAACCAATTGTTCTCCTGCTTCGAGAAAGGGATAATTTTGACCATGAAAGTGAATCCTAAAATAATATTAGAGAAAACTGTATATACCATATTAACTATTCTAAATATCATTAACAATGTCCTTTATTAGTTATGTGTTCCTTGAAGTATACTAATATTTCACTGAATAACTAATATGAATAATTGTCACTGAATAACTAATATGTCATATAATTTATAATAGTTTATTAAAAATTTTATTTTCTTTCTTAACAACCAGAATTAAGTATTAATTTAATCATATCTCAGTGCTAAAGAAATAATCTTTTTTTGCAGGGTTGTCTGGTGCTGGAAAGACTACGATTTCTTTTGGAGTCGAAGATTATTTGTGTTCATTTGGCATTCCAGCTTATGCTTTAGATGGGGATAATGTACGACAAGGCTTAAATAAAAATCTTGGTTTTAGTCCTGAAGACCGTGAGGAAAACATTCGACGTGTAGCTGAAGTTGCTAAATTGTTTGCTGACAGCGGTGTTGTTGCACTTTCTAGTTTTATCAGCCCATTTGCTAAAGTAAGAAATTTGTATGGTAGCATTTCTTTAAATGCATAATTAACTTTCTCAGAATTTCATTTTTTATCGTTGTATAGTACTCAGATTAAAATGGATTGCACAAATTATTTATTAAGTCATACATTTAGCAAGGTATAAATTATGTTTGAAATTCATTTAAATATTTAAATAACTTGAAATTACTTGCAATAACTTGAAATTTGAATGCTTCTTTAGTATATACTTTATATGCAATACTTGTGCCTAAAATAATTAGTTGCTTGAAATTAATGTGTCATAGAAGCTATTTTATTATGATTGTTATTATTAGGACTATTAGTCATGTCCACCACATTTAATATTTTAGTAGTATCTTCATATATTTATTGCTGAATAGACTATTACTCAGTCTTCAAGCTTGATATTTAAACTGCTTTCGAAACATGGAAATGTGAACTGTTATTGGGGAATTAATAGTTTTCTGTTGAGGTTAAATCACAGTCCCTTTTTGTTGAGGTCTATTGAATAACAGTATACATTTCTACTGATATCTAATAGCAATTTTTTTTATCTAGGTAATTGTATAAGTTTTGAAACTAATATTCCATAGAAAATATTTCAGTAGTAAGTATAAGGAAGAATCTCTCACTCCATCCAGTGCATGTTAAATATATTGTGAAATATAAAATTGCTATTATAAGATTTTGTAAGAGAAGATCCTTTTGATATTTCATTTTTGGCAGTTTTGTAAAATTTCTTACGCTGATGCTCAGAGTTTTGCTTCATTTCCTTCACTAGAGTTTTAGCTGTATGATGATTGACATATTTTAAATATCTGTATTTTTTTACTTGCTTACACAAATAGTATCAATGCTACAGCTTATTACAGTTTTATTGATTTTGCAAAAATATTTTAGATTTTGAAAGAAATTTTATTAGTTATAAAAAAAACTTGTAACGATAAAATGATTGTCTGAACTCATTATTTGTTATAGCATTGTAATATTTTTTTTTCCTATTGTCATCTTGTTACCATTTTCATTTTAAACTTTTTATTTATTTAATTAAGTATCTGGATTAAATAAATACGTAGTTTAAAACTTTACATATGGTAGTATGCATTTTATGCCTGAATTTTATTTTAGAGTTTATATATGCTAAAGTTATTGTTTATTTTCAGGACAGAAATCAGGCCAGACAAATTCATGAAGATGCTGGTTTAACATTCTTAGAATGTTTTGTGGATACTCCTCTTGAAGTATGTGAGAAAAGGGATGTCAAAGGACTGTATAAAAAAGCTAGAGCTGGAGAAATCAAAGGTATAGCATTAATTTTTTTTTTTTTTTTTTTTTTTTTGTTTTTTGGTACTTTTCCGTTTTGCTGACGTGAATCTCACCAAGCAGACTTCATTGGCGACAACACACAGTATACACATAAAAAATTTTAACAAATGTTAGTTCTAATAATTTTTTATTTTGAAGGCATAAACATTTTAATATCATTTAAAATTTTGTAAAAAGGACAATAAATTTGTAGAAAGACATTAATTTAAGAATTTACTATGCTTTCATGTTACAGCATCTTGATTCGCCGGTTCATAACACGTGACCCAAAGTAATCTCATCTCACGTGAATTACACTACAAAAATATAATTCTTCAGTTATTATCTACATTAACCCTCTGGCTGCTCATCCCGTGATTTCTACCGGCAACTCAAATGTAGAAAAATCTGCTCATCCCGGGATTTCCGCGGACGTGTGTTTTTCTTACTTTATTAAGAAGTGCATCCCGTTTTTTCCCCATTTAACCACTGAAATAAATTATATATAGTATTAGACGTTTAGTTTATGCTTTGGCCAACAGATATGTGTAATTGTCCACTAAATTGCACCGTTTGAAGGCACATGGTATTACCGCTCAAACTCCACTTTTTGCCGTTTTTTTCTTACATAAATGGCTGCTAGAAAACATTCAGCGATTATCTTGATTATTTAATTAAATTATTGAATTATTAATTAGATTGATTATTAATTAGATTTATTGAATCTGGTGCAAAGACTGTGAAGTTGGACTTTGCCTTGAACCCTGTTTTGAACTCTATCATACTAAACTGCATTTCTAAGATATTTTTTCCTCAGTGCTTTATATTTTCTTAAATTTTATATATTTTACTTTTTTATATTATGCAATAAATAGAAATTAACTGTAATTCGACTGAAATTTATTTAAAAAAATTTTTTGGGGGGGATGATTACATCTGAAATTGGTTTCTCTGGCAACTTAGTTTCTCATGATAAAAATCTATACAAAAAAAATATTTTCTAGAAAGGAAAAATGCATTTTTCAATTCTCCAATATATATAGGTTTAAAATATGAAAAAAAATATTACTCAATTTTTGAAGTGATTTCGGTCCACAAATTGAGCAGAGGGTTAATTTCAAGTTAAATCGTAATATGGAATAGAAGTTTAAATGCAAGAATCATTTTAATTCGTATGAATAGCTTACTCAAATTATATAAAACCACAGTGCTTTACTTCTCTAGTGCATTCTCATTATAATTGATGAATTTAACCCTTTAATTTTCTAGCCTTTACTTTTACTAGCCTTTTCTATATTTTTGCCTTCTGGTGAGCGGTGCGATTGCATCCTAATTGACTTAATTACCGTGAATGGCTTTAGAGCATAAAATTGAACTATCTGCTAAAAATTCTATGTAATTGTATACGAGTATTGAAGAAAACAAACAATCTGATAAGAAATGGCTGCTGACTTGTTTTGAAAATGCAGCATAAAAGGTTACCAGCGAGGATATTCCGTTTGGCATCGGTTGTACCATTTTTGGCGACTTTAATCGCCTGCTCCGGCAAAATGTAAAAGTACTTTTTTTTAATCGCAATAAGCAATTTGTTAAACAAAAAAAGAATTTTTTTTTTTTTTTTTGGGGGGGGGGGGCAGAAAAATGTGTTTTCCTAAAAACTAATTGAACACATTAATGTTAGTCTCATGTGAAGGGTGTCAGTAAAACTATATAAAAGATATGCAGTTGATCATTATTCATTATTATATATTGTATGTTATGTTTTAAAGATTTTAATTTTATTAAATTAAAATTTACTAAAAGTATGCCATATATATTTTAAAATCTTTAATGGTGAATCAAAAGAATGTCACATAACAGTTTGAAACATAATAAGTCAGTTAACAGATGTTTTATTTCTTTTTCTTTCTCTCTATATTATGAATGGAAGAAATACTTTAGAACTAAAAGCTGAGTTTAAAGTTTGACAAAAGAAAATGTTCCCACCCTTTTTTCAAATAAAGTGATATTTTAAAACTGTAACAAGGACAATATTCCATTCTTGTGGAAATTTCTAAAGCTTTTAGACTTTTGAAAGTAACATCTTTAAACAATAATAGTTGCAACTTGAATTTGATTCATGATAAAATTAATTAGTTATATAAGTTATTTTATATGCATTTAGTTCATTTCATGATACCTTATTTTTTTATGCAGTAGCTTTTAACTGGCATGCATTGCATTAGCTGCTTATAGGAAAGAAAGTGTTTGTGTTTTAATAATGTTTACTGAAGTGCTTTGGGATGCACAATATTTTTTGGTTTACAATCTGGTGCATACATGAATAAATCAGAAGGTTTTTTGATGCATGAACAGGCCGTTTATAGCTGCCCATGTGAAAAGCATGGATTTTTCAAATTTAGTTCAGAAATTTGTGGCGATTGTCCCTGTGCTTTGTGATTGTCATTGCAAAAGCAAGTTAGACTGGAAACTACAAATGTTTAAATTCAAAGGGCATATCTGTAGGAATCACTGGGATACATGGCTGTTACCTGGCGTGCATTGTAATGCTACTTAAACGAAAGAAAGTGTTTGTGCTTTAATTCTGTTTATTGAAGTGCTTTGTGATACACAATATTTTTCGTTTTTCCTTCTGGTTTGGGCAACTTCACTTTTCCACCCATACAGCATATTCCTGGTGCTTCACTCTTTGATTTGAGGGCTTTGCAATACATGGACAGTTTTTCCATCTTTCCAACAACCACACTTGGATGAAGACTGTAGTCATAATTAGCATCGGAATGAAATGCACCAAGATTTAAATCAGCATGCAGTGTTCGTCTGGATCAAGCAGTGCATACTCGAACATTTTCCACTCTTGCTTCCCATTGCTCGTCTTTTTCAGACAAATGGGTTTGAGCAGTTTGCACTTTAATGTTTTCCAGTCTTACTTCCCATTGCTTGTTTGTTTCTGAAGCAGGGGTAGATAAACCAACTGATTTTTGTTTTGGTGGCATATTTGATTTCAAAGTGATAGTAATACTTTGTGATGACTATTGCAAATTCACTTTCAAAAAGCAAAGAAAATGCAATTTATGCAATAGAACGCATGTAAAATTAATAATTTGGGTAAAGGCAGCACATTTCTCCTAAATAGCCGTGTTTGTTTCTTAAATTTAAGCCAAATTAATATAATTGCATTTCCCTGAAGGCGAACACATTTTTTTTTTATATCATCAAGTTTTTAAATTTTTTTTTTATATCATCAAGTTTTTAAATATCGCTAAGTTTTCTGATTAAATTGGAACCATATGTATCTTATGCTTTGCAGAATGGCAACACAAAGCTTTTAAATCACTGTTTTTTCAATCAAAAGTTTGTTAAATTAGTGTAAAATATATGTATGTAGTGGGAGAGTTGAAGATGCTAAATAACAATTCCAACGTTGTTTTCCACACCACAGAACATTTAATAAAGATAATCAGAAAAGGTACAAATTAGATTAAATACAAGTGCCGTTTGATACAAACAGGATTCTGTATAGTTTTACCAGTCTTATCACATAACGGATTAGTGCTTACTCGCACTTGCTGATGTATTAAACAGTTCAGTTTACCACCTTCGCGTGGAAAACTACAGTTCCTTATTCTACACCTTCACATGCAGACAGACATCTCACCACCTTCGCGTGGGATAGCAAGACTCTCCATGTCATACTCCTTTCACCTCGCTCTCGCTGCTGGCGCATCGGTGAAGCCCTCTGGTGGTTTGTGTTCGCACTTACGGATACTACAACTCGTCCGTTCCTTGACTTGGTTTTCGTCCACGAAAAAACACGGATCAGCAACACTGGAACATCAAGACAGCACCTGAAAATAAATTTAAAAAAAAGAAAAGGAAAAAAAAAAAAAAAAGAAAGAAAGAAGTGTGGAAGAACCACACATAGTCCTATATAGTTGAAGTCCACGGCTTCATGAGATCAGCTGCTGTAGTGGTACACCCAGGACCTTCATGGTGTCCCACTTTTTCCACCTGGTAACGATCTTTGCCTTTCCTCGCTGTTACACGATATGGGCCGAAGAACTTTGGCCTTAACTTTAGACCACCTCCATACTGCGTTCTTTGTATGGCAACTAAGTCGTTCACATTGTATACTTGTGCCTCTTTTTGTTGTATGTTTTTCTATTCTCTTCCTGAATTTTTAGAATGTTTTTTCTTGCTTCCTCTCTCATATCTTCTCGATCTTTCATCATAGTATTTCTTTCTTCTTCTTCAAAAATTTCCATAATCTTTAAGTCCTCTCAATTTCTCATTTTAACACCAGTGAGAAGCTCAAATGGAGAACTCTTTGTGCTTCTGCTCTTAGTGCTGTTCAAAATCCTTTGTACATCTCCGACATATTTGTACCACTTGGTTGGATCATCTATGGATAATTTAGATAGGACTGGAATCAGAGTGAGATGAATCCTTTCCACTTGTCCATTTCCTCTAGGAACGCCTGTAGTTCTAAATATGTGCTGGATCTTCTCTTGACTACAGTAATCTTCAAAGTCTTTAGAGGTAAACGCCGTACCTTTATCACTTATAATTCTCAAAGGACTACTGAAAGTTGATTGTTGCAGTTTCAATTTCTGCAATGCCTCTTGAGCTGATGTAGACTTGACTGGATAGAGCCATACGAACTTTGTGAATGCATCAACCACGGTTAGGATGTGATTGTAGTTCTTATTTGTCGACGGTAAATGGTCCTATAAAATCGATATGAAAAGTGCTCAAAGGGATACTATCTTTTGGTATGGGATTCAGCAATCCTTCGCTCTTACCTCGTTTTCTGTCGCCACAAAATACATTCTACACAATTGAAATAACTTGCTCAATTCGTTTTCTAAGGTTAGGAATATAAAAGTCGTTTTTTAGCAGATCTTCTGTTTTAGACACTGCGAAATGTCCCTTATTGTGGATACTACGTATGATTTTCTAACTGTAATGCTTCGGGGTACCACAAGTAGCTCACGACCACTGTCGAACTTGTATAATACTCCATTTTTCACTAGAAAATCTTTCTTTCAGTCTTTGCTTGACTAAGGATTTTAGCAACTGGAGATGCTCATCACTTCTTTGCGCAGCTGCAATTTTGGCTGTAATTTCTCTCCTGAGAACAAGTAACCATCATGAATAGCGTTCCTACTTAATGAATCCACATGCTTCATTTGTTGCCCAGATCTGTGAACAATTTCATAGTCAAATTCTTCTAGAAGTAACGCCCATCTCGCTACTTTAGGGGTTAGATCTTTCTTAAACATAGTCTTCTGGAAAGCATCGCAATCTGTAACTATCCTGACCTTAGATCCTAAAAGGTAATTCCTGAATTTCTTTAGAGCTTCTACTGTAGCTAAAACTTCAAGCTCATAACTAGATAGCTTCTCTTGTTGGAGACTTGTTTTTTTACTCATGAAGTAAATGGGGTTTAACTGTACATCATCTGACTTTTGTAGCAATACAGCACCGAAACCATGACTGCTTGCGTCTGTATGCAATTCTAATGGTGCTCCTTGTTTAAAAACATGAAGAACCGGACTTATGGATAAAAGTTTTTTCAATTTATATATTTCAATTATTTAGGAAACTCATTTTAAAAACGAAACAAAAGTATCACTATCTTCAAGAAAGAAATAAAGCAAAGTTTTCACAGTACCTTCTCTGAAGTATCCAAATATCAAGTATCCAAATACCCCGGACAGGCCCCCCAGATTTTCTGTAGTGGGGGAGTTGAAGATGCTAAATAACAATTCCAACGTTGTTTTCCACACCACAGAACATTTAATAAAGATAATCAGAAAAGGTACAAATTAGATTAAATACAAGTGCCATTTGATACAAAGAGGATTCTGTATAGTTTCACCAGTCTTATCACATAACGGATTAGTGCCTACTCGCACTTGCTGATGTATTAAACAGTTCAATTTACCACCTTCGCATGGAAAACTACAGTTCCTTATTCTACACCTTCAAGTGTAGACAGACATCTCACCACCTTCGCGTGGGATAGCAGAAGAAAGTCTCTCTGTGTATGTCATACTCATCTTTCACCTCGCTGCTGGCGCATCGGTGAGGCCCTCTGGTGGTTGTGTCGCACTTACGGATACTACATGTATATTAAGAGCTCGCTCCATGGGTTGGTTTTTGACAGTTCTTATGTAATTAAGACACAATAACATGCCGAATAAATGTTGCGCAACATTGTTGGTCCGAAAATCACACTTTCAATTTTTCTGCTGTCAAAATTATTCCAAAAACATCTTCCATTGGAGAACTGGATTTTGTAGAGGCATTTCACATTCATAAAAATCTTTCTGTTCTAGTTAACGATCCTAATTCCAATCCAAATTTGCCTTCGGCCTTTAAAGAAATTATGTTTTAGTTCTGGTTTCACCAACAGATAGCACCATTTGCTTATTCTTGTCCAGGCTTTATTATCTTATCTAATCATTTTTTCCTATCTTGTTCATTTGCGGTTTTGCAGCTGAGGATGGTGGTTCGGTAAAACCATCGAAACTAGTCCTGTGGAAATTTTGTAAATATAACGCTGATTTTTGTTGTTTGTCTTCTGAATTAGTTCTTATGTAGACAGTGACCTTCCTCTTGTTTTGAAGGTCAAGTGTTTCATAAAGATCAAAATTAAACTGTAGATTTGTACGAAAGGGAAACAGACATTCATTTATATATTATATACACAGATATTGCTGGCTTTAAAATTTACCTGTCTCTTTTACGTTTTTGCAAAGAAAGGAAGAAAACTTAGCTAATGGAATTGTATGACGCTATAAACATAAAGGAGGAAATGTACTAAAATTTCAGATTTCATTAAATAAGTATTATCAATCTGGTTTGGTCTTCAGTTACTGCTTACTGTTAAATATCCTAATTATTAACTATTAATCAGAACATTAAAGTTAAGCAAATTTTCATTGTTAAAATTGTGAGATAATATTGTATTCTTGGGATCTGCTAATGTATAATTTTCTGTTCTTTGAAACTGTTTATTTATGTACTTTTCAAATTCCTTGTAGGTTTCACGGGTATAGACTCTACCTATGAAAAACCAGACAAACCTGACATCCATATTAAAGCCGGGGAACTTTCTGTACAGGATAGTGTACAGAAAGTGATCAAATTGCTTTTAGATAGAGTAAGTCAACTACTTGAATTTGATCTTATTATTTTTTTTTTTTTTTTAATATATGTGTGAACATTAGTATAGACTGAGTCCTATGTAAATTGCCAATTTATTTGAATGATTGTATATATTATTTTTATTATAATGTAGAATGAATTATCATTAATTTCTTGTTATTTCAAAAACAGTTTTATTTACTTTGCACAAATATTTCTACACGTGTTTCAAATTTAGTTTTTGAGAATAAAACATATACTGAGTCATTGTTTATAAAAACTAAGTGTTTGAGTGGAAACTTATTTGGGTAGTGCTTGTAACAGCAATAGAATTTTTTTTCATTTTCTTCCTCTGTATAATTTTCAAAATTTACTTAAGTATAAACCTGTTGATAATTGAATTTCAAGTTTATGAAAGTGCACAAAATTTAGTTTTAGTTTAGTTACTGCTGTAAAAAAAATTTCAAATATTAGATACAAGGCTTCAAATTTTAGTTAAAAATGTAAGGTTAGGATCCCCCCTCCCAGTGTAGTGCAGTGAAATTCAAAATTGTGACAGCAGTAGTAATGTGTGCTCAGTAATTACATTTAAATTGAAAATAAGCTCAAGAAAACATTAGGCAATAAAATGCATTGCCATCCATGCATTTTGAATTATGTAGACATTTTGTTAAAATGTATTTTCAGAGTAATCAAAAGATAATATTAGCATTAGTTAATTGAGACAAAATAGCTGAAACTTTATTCAGGTGTTAAATCTTTTGTCCAACATCAATGCTGCAATAGATATTCTTTAAAATTTTGTAAATTGCACCTTGAGTGTATGAAGAATTCTGAAAAAGAAACTTTTCATTTCCAAAAATACGAAGTATAAAATGAGAGAGCTATTTTATGTGTATATTTGATTTGTTAGATTTGATTAGATTAGAGGGCTGAAAAAAGAAAAACTCAGTTTTAGCTCTCAGAAAATAATTCAGAATTTATATACCATTTACTTGAAATGAACATTTTATGAAGAATGAAAATTCCTTTCAGATAGCTTCTGTTATTCATAACTTCTCTTATGTAATATGTTATTAAAAAAGTAAAATATGATGATAAATGGAATAAATAAAATAAAAATAAGTCTTTACTTCAAAATGTATATGAATTTGATGATGTGTCATATGTTATACATATTAAAAAAATGACTCTTTTTGTGTTTTCATCGAGTGTTTCAAGATTTAATGCATGAATTTAAACTTTTGAATGTAAATGGGATCTTTATATTTGAAGGCAGAAGTAAAGGAATATAAATATTTGAAAGAAATAAATGTTTAGGTTTATAAAAATAAGAGTAATTTTAATTAAATGCTAGAGACAAAGAGGTATTAGAAAATATTGGCTTGTCAGATTAAATTATATATAAGTATACGCAGTTTGAGTTTTTTTGAGTGAACAACGGGGGAATATTGCAGAGCGTAGTCTCACTCCAGCTGACTCACAGACACTTATTTATGAGATTGCTGAAAGGTGAAAATACGTCCTTTAAGAAAAATTGCATTTAAGCTTTAAAAGTATGTTTTCAGAAAATTTCCAGAATAGTGTAAAATTGTTGAAAGTTTTTTAGATGTCACTAACGTGCCCCCCCCAAAAAAAAGTGAAAAAATCATTAATATTTAATAAAAAGAGTTTTTGCTTACATTTCCAGATCTGCTTTAATATTACAGTAATTCCAACATCAGTTGACTCAAAATTAAAAAAACAGTAATATTGTTATGTTTTCCTTTTCTGACACCAGTTGTTACGTTATTTTCTTCTTCGCATTCGTACGGGGTTCATATGGATTTGGAGTGAATAATGATGACACTATTTGATGGAGTATTGAAACACACTTTATTTACCAGTATTAATCAGGACAGCTCCAAAACATTTTTTACAGTAGTCGATGAACTACTATAAACACGCTGACACGATCAGCGAAACAGCCTCCAGCTTATCAGGTTATCACGGTGGAGACGGCTTTATGACAAAGCACTAGAGTACAGCTCGCGACTCTGCTTGGTCGTTCTCGGAACTCCACGTACTTGCAAGACTCTCCACGTGATGCACTCGACAATACTCAGAACACAGCTCCCGACTCTTCGGTTCAGTCATTCCCAGAGCTCAACACGCTCTCTCGACGATGTACTAACTGCGATTCACTAAGAGACTCTTTCGGTGCACTCGGCGCCCACTCAGCACTCGCTGCCCAGCTATCAACTCGATCGACTCCGCAGGGATTGACTCGCTAGACAAGACACCAACTCGATACTAACTGTCTCGCACTCTATGCGAGGCACACACTAGATACTGACTGCGGGCCAGCAGGGTTTATATAGCTTTCGGCTTGTGTTCGAGAACTTTCTCGGCTAAACCGGTAAGAATTCATTCCAGAAGGTTCTCCAATCGTCCATGGTATATCGCCAATTTTGTTGCCAATTGGGCGATTTCTCGCCAAATGTGGCAACTCTGCCATCCCTTGCCATTTTATGGCACCCCTAAAACTGCTTTGTGGGGAAGCCATCTTGGCGCGCCTGTACATTTCGTAACAATATAATACATAAAATAAATACTTTCAAATGAAATAAGTGATCATAAATTCAAAATTTAAATAAAGTAGTCAATAGATAAATGTGCAGTTATCATACATACATAATGCACTAAGACCAAGAAAAATAAATATGCAACAAATTAGAATTATCTAAGAACCAAGTTATGAAGTAATAAACATAAATGATCGTACAAATTTAGAATATTGTATATTTCCATGTGTAAGACAATGGCTAATGGTAAAGTGCCAAAATGTAGACCAGAAGTAATAATAGAATACCCTAAATAATTAGCACATAAAACTTACAACAGAAAAGGAAAATTTCTTTAATTTTTTAACTTACTTTTTGGATGTTCTAAATGCAACCTTTATGCAAAAAGAAAAAAAGCACATAAGTCTTTCAAAATGTGTCAAAATTCAAGTTTCCAAATAGTTCATAAAATTTATGTGCATTTATTGGGATATTTGGATGCATATCATTATTGCTTTTAATACTTCCCATACTAAAATTTATGCTCTTTTCATACACAAAACTATCCTCACTGCCAGTTACATACAGTTACTGATGCAGTACTTTTTAAAAGCTCAAACTGTCATTTAGATGGAATATCCAGCTATATGTCTTTCACCCATTGCACAACCTGTATTAAATCCACGTTTTTCTTTTTAATTTCTGCTTTTTGTTATGGCTTTCTCTTCTGTCTCCATCTACTTAAATACTTTGCTTAATCAAACATCCAGTGGTTGGAGCATAGATGTCAGTCTTCCTGGCATTACAACCTTTTTTTTTTTTTTTCATTTCAAGACTCTCGTCTTTCACTTTATGTGTAAGATATCCTAAACCAGCATGGATGGCTTATTAAATACAACACCTTTTCTTCGGCTCCGTTTTCTTTCCAGCCAACCCGTAGTGTCACACTCATCCATTCAGCTTTTTTATAGGCATGCACTAAAGCCCTACTTTGTAATTTTAAACTCTTTGTCATTAGAAAATAATTGTAGAGGTAAACTGGTTCCATCTGCTAGTTTAAAACTATTGTAAAAAAGCTTTTTCCATGACCTATTTTCTTCACAAAATAGTCTTAAAATCTTTTGTGTCAACAGTGTAATTTGATGGAAAATCAAATAACATGGACTTATCCATACTGCCAATATGACACAACTCGAAACCATATTTTTTCATAATTTTATCATGTGTCACTGAAATATTTCAACTTTTGCTTTTGTTCTGAAGGAATTTAATGCAAGCTTTTATGCATAAATTGTGCCTATTCGTAAAATGATTCTATGGAAGCACTGAAATCCACTGGCTTGAATGAATTCGGGCTGCTTCATCATGTTCAGCACTCTGATTCATATAGCTCTATAAGTTACAATAAAATCGTTCATTCACAATCCTTTAATCAATGCGACAGGTTTTTCCTCAAATGCATGAAGCATAGGCCAACGACCACATGCTGCCTATTTCGATTTTGGCATCTCGGCTAATTCAAAGCATTTGTTTCTTCACTTTCAAACTTGTTTCACATTTATGGAGAAATGCCAAGCAGCCATATTTTATCAGAATTTTGAGCAAATGCAATCATCTATGGCTTGAAAATTACTGTATAAGAATTTCTCTTCTTGCTATCTTTCAGGTAAAAAGAAATTAATTTTTTTGTCTCAAAAGACTAGCACAGATACCACAGATTGTATACAAGATAATAAATAATGGAAAAAATGTTCTAACCTCAGATAGTGTTAAAAGAATTAAAACTATCATTGTTGGCATTTTTAGTTATTTGACTGGAAAATATTCTATCTATTTTACCTTCTCAACATTTTCACCTTCATGGTGGCATGTTTGAACATAACAGGAATTTTTTTATTCATTTTGAGTTATATAAATTTTTAATTTTAGTTAAATTTTGAAGACAAAATGCACTCTTACTCTTAGCTTATACATGGTTTGGCTTATATTCAGAAATATACAGTATTTTAATTATGTAGATGGTTATACACCTTTAAAAATAATATTTATATAATAAATACTTTTTGTCAAAATTTGTTTATTAATTTAGAATAGGAATTATATAAATTACTGAATTAGTAGTGTGCTACCTGGGCAATATGATGGTTAAAAGAGCAATAACAATACCTTTAGTTGAATTTGATTCCCATACAAGATATGGGTATTTGTAAATATAGTGTCTTTACTAAATGGCAACCCTTAAATATTTTGATATTAAAGTTCTATAAAAAGTTTGGTGACAATATAATTATTACTCAAAATTGATTGTATTCTCAGGAGTGCTGATGAACATCATTAGAGTGGACTTCAAGTAGTGGTATGCTATAAAAATTTTAACAAAAAAATCTTGTTTTATCTGATGAATGAAAAATATCAGATTCTAATGAAATGTTTTACTTTTTACGAAACAGAAAATATAAATAATTAACACATAAGCTAATTCGTGTAGGATATCGATTCACTGATGACAGATTTAAAAAAAATTACTAATTTAGAAGTCAGTTAAAAAAAACACCTTTAACATTTGATACAAAATGCTTGCATAGAACTGAGTATTAATTCCACATTGCGAGGGCCATTCATAAACTGCATGCTTGTGGTCCAAAAACATATCCAAATGTAATATTTTGATATTTATATCTTTAATACTGTCATTTTATTCGTGATTTTTAGGGACTGGTGATGAAAAGCATATAATTTAACAAGAAATATTTCAAAGCAATTAATTTCTTTTTTTATTGAATTGTCTATTATTGATTATAAATGATATATGCAATACTCCATTTTTCCCAACATTTCATTAGCTCTATTGAAACAAAATGCAATTAAATCGTTTTTCAAATAGTTTGCTGGAAATGCATACAAATTTAAGTTCTTAATTATATACGTATGTATACAATTCAGCAAAGTGCTTTCTAACTACAGACAAAAAGAATAGAAAAGAGACAAAAAGAGGCTTGCAAATGAGAGACAAATTTAACAAAAGACTCGCACAAGTTTCTTAAGCTCCTTATTAACCTTAAGTAGAGAGACCAAATGTGTTTTTTTCTCAGTTTAGTAATCCAGATCCATTTGCAGTAGCTCTGGTACCTAAATATTATGCCAAAAGGTTTGTCTAGTAGCCATTGTTTTCATTTCTTTTCCAAAGTTCGAAGACTTATTTATTATTTATTTGTGTACAAAAGTGTTAATGTAAATACGAAATAAGGTGTTTAAGTTTTGTGTATATTTAACCATAGCACCTTTGCATTTTAATATGTTTTGCATTTAATAAGTTTAGCTTTCAAACTTTTATTTTCAACTACTTTATTTATTCAAAATACTATTCCAAAATATATTGGGCGAATCATTTTGAAATTTATATATTCAGGTAATTTCTTATAATCTGTTTTTATTTTCCATGTTATTGACCATCAGAGTGTAAGCTATATTTATTTAAAATCTTTGAAATCATACTTTGTACTTTTTCATTTCATTTAACCACTTTACTGCAATTAGTAACAAAGCCTTTCTCTTGGGATGCTATTAATGGGGAAGTGGGAAATAAGTTTTTTTAAATAAATTATTTGCTTTCCTAATTCATGTAATGTTTGTTTTAAGGGAATTATTCCAGAGTCTGTACTGGATAGTGTGAAAGAATTATATGTTCCAGCAAGTCGCTTGGAGAGAGCAAGAGGTGAAGCTGAATCATTGCCTTCTATAGAAATTAGCAGTTTAGACTTGCAGTGGGTTCAAGTCCTTGCTGAAGGTTGGGCAACTCCTTTGAAAGGATTTATGAGAGAAAGAGAATATTTGCAGTGCTTGCACTTTGGCTGTCTTCTTGATGGTACTTTTGATTTAATGAATTTATTTAATGCATAGGTTTATTTTAATGTGGTATTTATATTTTCTATTAATATTTCTAAACATATTTTTCAAAAGTAGTTTCAATATATTTTTAAATATTAGAGGAAAAACTGGCATTTTGCTTATTTTTCAGTTTATTTTAATTTGACTCTTAGAATGCATGTAAATTACAAAAATATTCATACTTGGCAATTTCATAAATTTGTTTGGGACAAATTTCTAGATGCTGTATATAGTAAGGTAACAACATTTTTACAGTAGACGCCACTTAATGTGATCACTTTTGTCCACTGTTTTGATAATCAAATAACAGCATTAAACAATAAGAAAAATATCCTTCAAAATGGGAATAGACTTTAACCACTTTAATATAAATATAGCTAGAAATGTATATATAAATAAGTATTTTCACAGCATAGAAATCCTGTAATTTCCATGTTGATTGTCTATTTTCTACATTGTTATTTGAACGATTTTCATTCTCAATGACCTGTCTTTCACTTTCTTCACTATGGGTATTAATATTTTTTGGATTTAGCACTATGCTACAGATTTCGCCATCTGTTAGTTGATTCATTATTAGGGCATTGCCATTGCAATGGAATACTTGTTATGTTATCTTCATTTATTATCACCTTTCCACATTTCTTCACTAATTACGTTAATTGCAAAATTTTGCTTTTTCTTTGTGATGGCTGAAAACAAAACCTTCAAATTTTGGCTATCATCATAAAGCCTAACAAGCTTTTGTTATACCCTATTGGCGATATATCATGAGAATGGCAACTAAAGAGTGAGTTTTTCTGCTAAAATTTGTCCGACTTCTATCACTTGCTAAGGAAGTTAAGGCTGAATTGTATTAGTTTTGTGATGTATTATACTTACGTCTTGCTTAAAGCTTATCCGAGTCCCAATGAAATAAATTCCTATATATACTTAAGGAGTGCTTTTCCATTATGCATCTGCCATGCATTTTGTCAAGTTTTTAAAACAATTGCAAACAGTTTTTAGTTATAAAAATAGTTTGTAGATGGCAAATACTCACACCCATACACACACACTACATGGCTGGTGATGACTGATAAATCAACATCTGTCATGTGATGTGAATGTGTGTTTGCCATAGGCCAGTAATGGAAAAGTGCCTTTAAGGCTTCTCGGAAGAGCAAATGAGTTATTCTTGATTCAAACAGCACTAAACAGCCTATGAATGTCATTTATAAAATATTTTTTTAATTAAATAATATGTAGAAATTAAAATTATTTCAGTCTTTACCTATTATTACTTATACTAGGATGCTGAAGGAGGGGAGGCTCAGTTTATTCATATATTCTTCAGTTTTCTTTATTTTTCTGAATACCTATATCTTGAGCTTCATTTTTCTGTTATATATAAATATGAATGTGCCTATTATAAAAAGGATCAATTGAATGATGTATGTGGAAGAGGGAGAATGTTTAATACATACACAAGAATGTAAATTTGCATTATGCACAAGAAGAAATTCTTTTGCATTAAAAAATATTATGTGTGTTACAAATTTATTATAAATAAGAGTACATTTCTGCAATACTTACATTATACATTTGTAAGAAAAGCTATGCAATTACTTTTGAAAAATAACAATCTTGTAATAAGTATAATCTTGTACTTTTAGGTGGAGTAATCAATCAATCAATACCAATAGTACTGCCTGTATCTACTGAAGATAAAGATAGGTTGTATGATGTCTCTGCTTTTGCTTTGCGTCATAATGGAAACTGTGTAGCTATTCTGAGAAATCCTGAATTTTTTGAGCATCGGAAAGAAGAACGATGTTGCAGACAATTTGGAACATCCAATACAGGGCATCCATATGTAAAAGTGAGTAATTATGTGTACTGGCTTTAATCATATTTTCTGAATATAACATCTATATGAATTTATTGTGTTTTTTAACTTAACATGAAACATATAAACAAAATGGATTAAAAAAATTTTGATAATGCCTAAGAACTGTTACTTTTATGAGTTGTGTTTATTTGATATTATTTCTGCCATGATTGATTATCTCAAATAATTTTAATTCAATTAATGAATGGCTTGATGTTTATTTCTCCTGTATTCTGTTCAGTTCCTTTTTCTTTAAATGGTTGATAGATAATCTTTAGCATTTTGAAACTGGAAAGGAATTGTTTGTAAATACCTTTCATTAGTCACCTCTTTTGGGGCAAAGTAGGACTTACTGCAATAGGGAACAGAAATGAAACGAATGATTAAGCTGTATGTGGAGGAAATTGAATAAATCATGTATTGTTAGTGATCATCTGTTCCAAGCATATTTTAAGTACACTTTAAGAGAGTTTGGGATATCTTGTAAAATGATGGAGGTGATTAAGAGACATTAGTACAGTTTTAACAATAAATGCAAAATAATAATAATATTTATTGCCTCTGTATAAAACTTTTTTTAGATTAAGTTTAGAAGATGCAGATTGATTTTGATCATCAGAAGAATGAAAAGATATCGATTTTATTTGCCCTTTTAGAAGGCTTTGGTTTCTTTTGAAGATTTGAACAACAAGGTCAGGCCAAATTAAATACACCAGTCTTCAGACTGATTACAAAGTCACATATTAAAGTAGGATGATGTCTAAATGAGAGTTAAAGATAATTTTTAGTGGCTATGTTATCTATATCTTGCACGTTAATTTTTATGAAACTTGTTTAGATTCAGTGAAGAAAATGTCAACATAAAGTAGCCATCTGCTTTAAAAAAAAAATGTAACCGAGTCAATTCTAACATAACCAGATTCACAAGGATAAAGGGGGGGGAACACTAAAAGCCTTTTTAAATTTTGCTGCTTTGAAATATCAAACTATTTCTAGACTGATCTGTTTATTAATATTGCAATAAAACAGTGAAAAATAGGATAGTCTGAATGTCGTATTCTGTGAAATTTCAAGAATAGCAAAGCAATATTTTGAAAATGAAATCAAATACCAATGTTGTCACCAAGTTTTAATTAATAAAAAGGTAAGCAAACATGTTTATTTCTTGCATACAGTTTGCGACTTCCATATTTCCTCAGAACTTACAAAATATCATCATCCCAAAGACTTCTGCCATGGAAAACCTAGACTTACTACATTAAATATGTTATCTCTTTTGTTAATGAACTCACCAAAGAAGCAACCCTGCTTGGAGCTTTCTTCATAATGGGAAACTTGTAAACAACCATGGCTAGGACTTTCGGTAACAGTTTGTGACAAATGTTGGCACCATTTAAATTATGAGGGCTATAATAATGAGGAAGTACAATATTTAATTATATATTTTTTTTATTTGTAAAGCTTTTGCTTTTGATAATTGTATTTTATTTTAAATTAATTATATTTTTTTTTTTTCAGATGATTTTTGAAAGTGGAGATTGGTTGGCTGGTGGTAATCTAGAAGTGCTTGAAAGAATTAAGCAGAATGATGGACTTGATGAGTATAGGCTAACACCTAATGAGTTGAGGGCAAAGTTTAAGAAAATGGGAGTAAGCTAAAAGTTTCCTGTCTATTTTTAATAATTATATCAGCATTACTAATTCAGAAGTCAAACAACAAAAATCAGCGTTATATTTTCAAAATCGCAGCTGAGGATGGTGGTTCGGTAAAAACCATCAAAACTAGTCCTGCGAAAATTTTGAAAATATAACGCTGATTTTTGTTGTTTGACTTCTGAATTAGTATTTATTCGGCGTGTTAATGTGTCTTAATTATATCAGCATTATTTTTTTACAAACATATTCCTCGCTCATAATAATTTTGTGCCTAGAAATTTGATAAACTATTTTAATTAACTTTATTTTTAACCTCCTGTCTTTGAAACTTCACACATTTTATTACATGAGGTCATTACACATGCATTATTTTGAATTATTAAAATTTTATAATACGTACCATAACCTGCACTTCTTACACTTGCATATTTTTCCTAGAATTGGGTATATGGTATTAGTATATGGTAAAGAAATTTTATTTATTCAGAAATTTGAACTTCTCTCCAGGTTTAGAAAATGAACATCTCTTTTCTTAGTTTTTAGACTCTTTTAAAATTTACTGTTATTGGCTTTTACTTGCAATCAAAAGTTTTAGATTTAAATTAGTTAATCTAACAGTTAAGTATTGTTTGTATGTTTAATACAAGGGTCAGGTGGAATAGTACTGAAGACATTGGCTCATTTCTTTGAAATGTTATGATACAGTGTCTCACAAAAGTGATGGGACACTTGTGCTTTACAAAAGGAAACTGTAGTAAAATAAATTAAAAAGACATGTAAAAATTTTTCGTGGGTGTGTTTCATACTTAAATTTAGTAACAATTATTACATAACATGCATTTTCTCAAAATATTAAAATATTAATTTAATAAAAATACAATTGTTTAGAACGGAGCAAAAAATGGCTCACATAAGTGATGGGACACTTACTTTTCCATCAAATATTTATCCAAAAATTTTACTTTTTAAAAGGTTTTAATATTTTGTTGGATTTCCTTTTACTTTTAAAACATGATTTAATCTTCTTGGGATGGATTCGACTAATTTTTTTGTGATTTGGGAGTGATTTTACCCCATTCTTCTTGAAACACCGATTTTAATTGTTGTTTTGAAGAAATGGTGTGTTTACGAATTCTTGATTCCAATTTTTGCCAAATATTCTGTATGGGATTTAAGTCTGGAGATTGTGGTGGTGTTTTTATTATTTCAGGACAGTTATACAGCAGCCAGAGTCTAATGTTCAAAGAAATGTGCGTGGGGTCATTGTCCTGGTAGAATTTAAAATCCTTCTGAAGGTTCAATTTTCACGCTGAAGATTTCAAATTTTGATTTAAAATGTTAATATACTTGTACTGATCCATTATACTGTCAATAAAAACAAAAGTACCAACTCCAGTGGACGACATACACTCCCATACGATAACTCCTCCTCCACCATGTTTTACTGTTGGCACCAAGTTCTGTTTTCGAAATTCTTCCCTGGGTTTTCTCCACACCAAGATTCTACCATCAGAACCAAATATATTAAACTTACTCTCATCATCAAATATAACTTCATTCCAGTAATCAGAATTCTTATTTATGTTGGATTTTGTGAAAGCCAGTCTGAGTTTTCTATTCTTTTCACTTATGAAGAATTTTTTCCTGGCTGCTATACCGTGATATCCAGCAGATCGAATTACTCTTCTAATAGTCTCAGGTTTAACAATTACTCCATATAATGCTTGTAAATCAGCAGCAACTTTGGGAGCACTCATTCTTGGATTTTTTTTAATATTTCGAACGATAATTCACTTTATTCCATTGGATAGCTTTGATGGTCGGCCAGGTCTTCTTTTATCCTGAATCATATGATCCTTTTTATATTGTTTAATGATATTGTAAACTGTTGAATGACTCAAGTTAACTGTTTCAGGAGTTTCTCTAATAGATTTTCCATGTTCAATATGCAAATTAATAACTAATTTTCGAATTTCAGGCAAAGTTTCTTTTCGTTTAGCATTCATGGCTGCACAGAACTAAAAAACACAAAAATTATAAAACAAACTGGAGAGAAATACTGCAGACGATTTTATAAATTATTGCCAATTGCTTTTGAGTAAAAATAAAAACCCCAAAAAATATTTTTATTGTAGTACGTAGTAGTATCTAATTGTGTCCCATCACTTATGTGAACCATTTTTTGCTCCGTTTTAAACAATTTTATTTTTATTAAATTAATATTTTAATATTTTGAAAAAATGTATGTTATGTAATAATTGTTACTAAATTTAAGTATGAAACTCACCCACAAAAAATTTTTACATGTTTTTTTAATTTATTTTATTAAGTTTCCTTTTGTAAAGCACAAGTGTCCCATCACTTTTGTGAGACACTGTACATTAATATTATTACATCTATTTGAATGTACCTTTCACTGCTAAATTTTCTTTAGCTCCTGCTGTCAGAAATATTATACACTGCTTAATTTTCTCCTCTCAGTTTTCTAGCAATGGAGAGAAGGGATGATATATGTGAGTTAAGTATATGGTATGTTGTATTCTGTAAGGTGTTTCAAAGTAATTGTGTATCCTAGCAGGAGCAGATTAACCAAGCATTGTCTTAAAAAAAGTTTATTTGGCTTGGTGAAGAATGAAGGAAATATTATCACAAACCATCAAAGTAAAGTCCACGAGTCCAAAAACATATCAACCTCATTTTGTACATCCTGTGCGGAATGGAAGATAAGCACCAGCAAAATGTAGCTGCAGGTCTGAAAAGAGGATAGAGCAAAATGGGATCATTTATTCATTCTTAATTGGCAGCAATATTATATATTGATGATCTAAAGTTTACCTTAATATGCAAATTTAAATTTTTCATTGAAATAATTCAATCATTTATTTTTATTGAATATTTGGGAGATTTAGTGTTAATATCTACCTTTTTTTTACATCATGTGTTATATTTTTGTAGGCAGATGCAGTTTTTGCTTTCCAGCTGAGGAATCCTGTACATAATGGTCATGCATTGCTTATGCAAGAAACAAAAAATCAGCTGCTAGATCGTGGTTACAGAAAGCCAGTTTTATTATTGCATCCATTAGGTAAATAATTTCTTTAGATGTTTTAGATTTTCTATTTGAATTATATAATGTTTTTATGAAATAAAAACCTTTTTGTGGTAGGTTGTACAATAAGTCCAAAACATGGCTTTTGGTAAAAGCATATTGAGCAATATTTCCCCCTTTCTTTTTGAGGAATGAAACAAAATTTCTCAGATATAGATATTTTTTATGTACAATAAAAATTAATACTGATATTAATCAATAGCTAAAGCATACTGGTGAAATGAAACAAAAGATTGCTTGAATATTCTCCTTCCCCCCCCCTTCTGAAAAAATAGCATCTTTTGAGATAATATTATTTGATAGCGGCTTTTTACTTCAAAATAATAAAAAACTTGTGCCACAAAATAATGTGTTATTGTAGAATTCTTCAAATTTTGTTGAAGTGAGTAAAAATTTTATCATTTTTTGGAGATATTTAGTACTATATATGAACAAATTTATGTTATCTTTTTCCTTCTTGTCCTTTTTTGAACATTGGACCTAAAAAAGATATAGGGATTGGATATTTGTGTATTTCCATGTCAACTATTTTCAATAAACGAAAACTGTCATGACCCAAGGAAATTTAGTGCCAATAATGAATAGATTAGCATAATATTAAGGTACGACTCGTAAGATCTTTGTATTGGTTTCATGTAACACCAATTAATCCTCATTAAGCCACCTTTGTTGATTATCTAATAAAGAGAATCTCTGTTCTTTCCAAACTTTCATCAGAATGTCAAGTCTAAGCTCATGTTTGTTAATTTTTTTATACTCCATCTATAATTGTATCTATTGATTAACTGGCCCAAATTTGCCAAATCATCTGCCAGTTATATTATCAATGAAAAAATGTATAAATATTCACAGTAAAGTTTAGAACTAAAGACTGTCTGTGTTGTAACAATGTATATAATCCCTGCAGTACAGAGAATTCGATACTAACCCTGGTTGACAACCATTATTTGAGTATTTGAAAAACTTTTAAGTAATAAATCTTTTATGTGTTTTAAATGCATAGGGATTGAAAGTATTCTGATACAGGCAAATACCGAAAATCCGCCGACCTGAAATCCGCATTGCCTCTCAAAATATAAACATTTAGTTTATAGGTTCCAGAAACCACAACATGGAGTACGAAATATCGAAGAACAAATACTTACTGGATAATGACGCCATAATTACCAAATAATAGTGAGTCATAACTGAAACACCAAATTACTGACATCATGATAAAAGTTTTTTTCCCTCCAATCTGCATCGAGGTGAAAGAACAGATGATTAACTCAACTCTTCTTTCAACGCTTCTTAATACAATGATAGATAAGAAACACACTTGTGATTTTACTGCTTGCAACGTTGAAAAACGTAAACATGTTGCATTGACGGTAATGAAAACAGTGGAAATTCGAGCTAAAGATGGAGGCAGGTGCTACTGCTTGATTTATAGCAGAATCGTATGGAATTACCACACAGACTGTGTATGATATATACGGAACAATAAAGAAAAGCTGTTGAAATTTTACAGCAACAGTGATTCTAACACCGGAATCTGAAACCGGAAATCTTTACAAAGGCTTAATCAGGAAACCTCGATGCTGTCTTGCACGAGTGGTTCCAGCAGCGGCGGAGTGATGGGGTACCTATTTCAAGACTACTCCTGAGAGAAAAGGGGAAGCAGATTCATGTTGATTTAAAAATAGAGGAGCCTAATGTAAATGAACACTATAATATAATCAGTTTATATATGTAATAATAATTTAATGAATATAATAATTTTATTAAATGTATCTAATACGCCTTATTTATTTTGGGCTTTTAATCTGAATATTATCTTTTCTGTCCTGAAATCCGTAAAATCTGCACAACCTCTGGTCCCAAGCATAGCGGATTTCTGGACTTCTCCTGTATTAGGTAAAAATTATATAAAGGTATCACTGAATCTTCATAAATATCAAAGAAAGGGCAGTCTCACATGCAAGGTAGGAGATATTCTGGAAACTGAATACAGCTGTTGCAAATTCTACTGATATTTTTAATTTTTTTTACATAGCATAGAAATTTTATTTGTTAAAATAAATTAATATTTGAAATCTTTCTTTCTAAATGAGTTATTTTAACTCTTCAGGGGAACTATATTAAGATATTTATTCCAAAGATGAAATAGGAGATAGTCTGTTTGCATTCCTCACACTGTAGAGTCATTAGGTTAATTGGAAGCAGAAAAGATGAAAAAATATGCAACCACCTTCGCCGGGAATCAAACCTCTGGAATACCGGCCCAGCGTGCTACCGTTACACCACGAAGGCATGCCAGGGAAGTAGGAGAAATACCTTATATACTCCCCTTTTTAAAAAACGAGTAGGGTTTTAGAGGACCTAGTCGCCAAATCCTGGGTGCAGAGAATCATCATCCACAACCCTTTTAGTTTGGGTGCCACTTGTAGAGTCATAAGTTTAATTGGAAGTAGAAAAGATGAAAAATATGCAAGCACCTTCGCCGGGAATCGAGCCACGGACCTGTGGAATACCGGCCCAGCGTGCTACCGTTACACCACGAAGGCACGCTAGGGAAGTGAGAGAAATACTTTATAACACAAATTATATGTATTAAACAATTTCTCAGTAAATTGACAGATTTCAGGTTCTTTTTATAAATATAATTTGATAATTTTGTCTGACAAAATACGATTGAAAAATTTCATAATGATTATTACTTTTTAAAGAAATTATTTTTGTTATTTAGAATTATTCCGGAAAATTTAAAACTGAATCTTTTATGTTTGATTTTATATCTTTATGCTCATATCATAGTTACTTTTCAAATTCAACAAATTTGAATCTTAAAACCATCTAACCATCATCCTATGATGTATGCTGGTGCATCTATGAACAGCATGAATCATCATATCTTTTTGAACAAAGAAAAATGGATCTTTTTCACATAATAATTAGTTATTCCGTTTGATAGATAAGAATTCACTTTCTTTATTGTATTTACACCTCTTTTTTGATATTTTCAATTTATGGCGGTAAATCAATTTAAAAGAAGAAAATGACATTTTAAAAAGTGTGTTACGGATGTATATTGCAGCCAATAGGCACACAGAACAAAAATAATATTACAAAACAAGCATAGTATCTAAGCCTTGCAATTATTGCCAACAGATATCTAATTGTAATGGAAGTTTTCTGCCAAAAAACATAATTAATAAAGTTATAAAAAATGAAAGCAATACTTTTAGTGCGGGTAGTAATCACCACCTAAATCTATGATTTTACAAATAAAATGGTATTTTTCTTTTTCAAAACAAGGCTTGCTTAGTTATATATCTTCGTCTTCTTCTCTTTTTTTTTTTTTTTTTTTAACTTGTTAACTGAATACATCTGTTGCATAATCTGACTGCGTAATCTTGGTAATTGAATGTATAGTTTGCAGCAATTCATTCTAGTTCTATGACAACCGTTATCACAAATGTAGCCTAAAATGCCATGTTTTCAAACTTTTAATTATTATAAGTAAATAAATTAAAGCTTTTTATACTTTTACATCATATTTACCAGAGTTGATCTGTATACTATAAAAATATTTTGGTTATGATAATGCTGAATTAATTATAGCCTTGTTATATATGCATATTGGTTGTATGCTGCATTCACCACTAAATAAATTTATTTATTTTGATAGGTGGTTGGACTAAAGATGATGATGTGCCTCTAAAAGTAAGGATTTCACAACACAAAGCTGTTTTGAATGAAAAGGTTTTAGACCCAGAATCTACAGTTTTGGCTATTTTCCCCTCTCCTATGATGTATGCCGGTCCAACAGAGGTATTTAATTCATTATATATGCATGTATATATTCTTGTTCTGCATTACTGTAGTCTGTCTTGGTTCTGTCTTTGCTATGATACCTCAAAATAGGAAGATTAATTATTTATACAGAAATCCAACTTCTCATGCAATCCCCTAATATTTAGTCATAGAGCGGCAGAAACAGGGTATACTTAGTGAATATATCCTGTTGATTACAAATATATGTATATCTGGCAGCGAATTGCAAAATTCGAAATTCCTATTTTAAAAATAATTTTCAATTAAAGATTTTAGACCGTTCTTTATTTAGAACAGAAAAAAATTCAGTTTGCATGTAGGTTTTAATGCAGACACTAAAAAGCGATGTAAGTGAAAGGTGATGATTATGGAAATATCTTATTCAATGTTAAAGCATTTTTGAAAGAAATTGCAAGAAATACATGATTTTGACCACTCACTGTTTTGTGATGTCTTTAGAACTGGATAGGTTATAAGTCCTCCCTGTACTGCAGAACTATTTCATGATATGTATTCTATCTTATTTTTCATTAAAAGCAAAATGCACCTGGAATATCATCGTATTTCTTTGAAGTTCTTTTTATAGGTTTATTTCTAAAAAATTCTATTTTGTTTATAAACGCTACATCACTGAAAGAACTTGCATTCGTTTAATTTTTATTCATTATTTAATGTTTACTGTGATAACATAATTCTTAAACTGTAAAAGTTGGTTTAATAAAGGCCTTGTTATTTTTCTGTGCATATTTCCTACTATTTCTGTTTTTAATATTTCAACACTGAATAAGGTATATTCATAATTGCAGTCTTTTTTACATGTCAAAATTTTTTGCCAGTCTGTGCAGAATGTATATCTTTTTTATGAGATAGAAAATATGTTCAGACCTTTTGAATGCAGATTTTCGCTTGTCTCATTTTTTTTTTTTTTTTTTTTTTTTTTTTTTTTTTTGTAGATTCTAACATTGTTACTAAAGGTATTACAAGCATTTTGAATTACCAATGCATAATTTCCAGGTGTTATTACATTCTGTTGTCCAGAAACGTGATATGTAAGAGGATACTCTTACATTACTCATGTCACCAACTCTCTGAAGAAATATTATGTGATATGTAGCGCTGTGTTTTATTTTTGAATTGCCTTTTTTGATGTATCACAGTCTGGCTGATTGGCAAAAGTGCCCCCCCCCCATTTTATATTATTTTTACTAAATTGACTTCAGCTTTTTAATACCTTCAAATTTAATTTTAGTATTAGATTGTTCAGTATGGTACTACTACCTTTATATTATGTTTTCATATAATTAATTTTGTATTTAAATACTGTAGGTTCAATGGCATGCTAAAGCCAGAATGTCTACAGGGTCCAATTTTTACATTGTTGGACGTGATCCAGCTGGTTTGCCCCATCCAGATACAAAGAAAGACATGTATGATCCTACTCATGGAGCAAAGGTAATTTCTGTTTTGATGAAATATGATTAAAACATAATTTATAGATTTCTTAAGCTCTTGAGAATTTAGAAAAATAGCCTCTGGGTTAGAAAAATTCTGTTAAATTAATGTAATATTAAAAATGAATTTAAATGTTTGCATTTTTATCATCTTTTAAAATTAGCTAGATTTATGACTGAAAAAAAAAAAAATTCTTTTTTGTGATTTCTAATTTGTTAAAAAAATCAGAAGTATTTGCTAAAATCATTAGGTGGTTAAAATCTAAATAGTGGTACCAGTTGCAATAAAGCTTCTGATAATATATAGGTAAGTGAGCAAAGGTACCAGCAGAATACCATTAGTTATCAAGTATTCTGTGTTCAATATTAATTTATTAATTAAGCCAAAACATGCAAGATACCAAAGGTATATAAATCACAGTACATTAACATTATAGAAGATCCAGAGAATTTGAGGTGCTTTGTTACTATAAAGAATTAATAAATGTAGTATTGTAAATAGTAGCAATAGAATTGTAAATAACTATGTAAATTAATAAATGTAGTTATATTTTATATAAAAAATAATATAGTATATGAAACACAATATGGTAAATAGAGATTTCAATTAAACTTGAAATTTGAAAAATTCCTAAATATTTCAGAGTCTGCGCGATGTAGAAAATAATAAATAGTGCAAGTTTACATAATACCCGTTTAATACTTAACTCTTAAGTAATATTAAAAATGAAACAGTTTCTACGAAAAAATAAATAAATAAATAAACATTCTATGAATATTTTTTAGTCTATTTACGAAAGTGTTTATAATCGTTAGACATGTCATTTCTGTACGTTGATAGCATCTTTTTAATAAATAATATACTAGCTTTTTTTAAATAATATTTTCATATTTCTAGATGCAATGGTTTATAAAGTAGTCGCCAAAAATTATAGATTGGCTACTAAAATGGTTAACTTTTAATAGATGAAGATTACTTACGTATTAAATGGGGTTCTGATGTCAAAGAATAATAATTTTCATGATTTTGTGTTTTCCTTCTTCCCATAAAAGCAGGGGCGTAGCTAGAGGGGGTCAAGGGGGGCACCTGTCCCCAGGCGCAGAATCCAAGGGGCGCCAATCTGATGTTACGACATTTTAGAATTAAATGTTTTCCATCCTTGGCTAGCACTAGGGGGCACGAAATCTTCAGTTGTCCCTGGGCGCTGAAAACTCTAGCTACAACTCTGCATAAAAGTATAGAACTTTGAATTTTTTTATTGTATGTTTATTAATTCTTTAGTATTTTGAATATTTGATTTTAAAAAATACAGAATTGTGATAGATTTCAATTGAGGCTGGATAAAAATAAGGATGGCTACAGTTTCAAGACCTTTGTTAGGTGCTTAGTGGAAAAGCAAAATATTTTTATAATCAATTATTGTCTGAGCGAGAATATTTTAAATAAATCATCATCAAAAGGTAATGAAAAAAAGTTGACTTTTATTTTTTCCCAAGTTTTAACTTTTATAATACAAATGAGTAACTCACTTTTGTTCTGATATTATTTGAGAAAAGTCAAAAGCCATTCATGGATGGAAGGAACCCTAATATTTGCTAAGAGGAGTAGCTTAACATTTGTAATCAGTGGAACTTTATATAAAATTCAGTTTAAAGTAGAGTACCTTTCAGAAATCAGGATACATTCTTTAAAATCAGTAAAATACTGATTAAATCACTTTAACTTTATATGAATCTTAGAGATTTAATTTCTTGGTTTTACATTCCGTAATTGATTAAAGACATGAAAGGAAGAAGTGAGAGTACTTTTTATTGCAGGGTAGTACAAAGCTACTACTAAAAGCATAAATAATAATTGATTATTGTAACTTTTAAAATTAGTTGCTTTAATACAGCATCTCAAGACCTTTACTTACCTTTTTTATCTTCTTTTAACTGTAATAATGTCTACAGCTTGAGAGATCAGAGTTTTTCCTGATTTTACTTTTTTTGGTGTGTTTCAATAATACCTTAATCTAACTTACATAAATATAATTTTGAATTATTCTGTCAACTGAAAATAATTTTAAGGGAACACATATTGATTTTTTGTTAATAAAACATATTTTTTAATATCACAAGGGCATTTTATTAGTTATTTTTAAAGCAGATCAGAACCAAAAGGAAATAGTTGTTAAAATTTAGGTTTGCTAATGAACACTATTCAGCTGTAGCATTTTTTTTTTTTTTTTTTTTTTTTTGAAAGAAATACTAGTCTGAGAATTATAGTTTTTTGGACTTCATTTTTCTGAAAAAGGAGTTAATAATACTAAGATTTTTTTTTTTTTTTTTTTTTTTTGTCTCTAGCTTTTTTTACTCCCCTCCCCCTTATTTTCCTTTCAAATTTGGAAATTTTAGACAAAACATCTTTTCTCTATTTGATTCACCGAATAATGACATTCAGTAGTTAATGATTAGCAGCATAGAATTTAACAAGAATATGGTACATAGTTATAATATTTCTAAACATTTTTCATAGGTTTTGACAATGGCTCCTGGTTTGACTCAACTGGAAATCATTCCTTTCCGTGTTGCAGCTTATGACTTAACCAAAAAGAAAATGGCACTTTTTAATCCTAACCGAAAACAAGACTATGAATTTATATCTGGTACAAAAATGCGCTATCTAGCTCGCAACAATCTGGAACCACCTGATGGATTCATGGCCCCAAGTGCATGGAAAGTTCTGTCTGATTATTATCGTTCTCTCTCTGACAAATCATACTGTCAATCCACGCAATGAGTACTCTTGGATATATTTGTTTATATATGCAGTGATGACTCGTGCACTTCCTGAAAGGTTATGGGCTTATAAACTGTATCCTGTAAAAATTACTTTGATTGACTCATACTGATGTTCGTTATTTGTCTTTCAGTAGTCTTACTGATTATTTCAGAACAATTTCTGTTAAGATATTTTAGAACAAATAATTAATGTCTTATAAATCTCAATTACTAACCTTTAATAATGGATAGATCCTTATTTATTTATTTATTTTCTTTTCTTTTTACTAGTCAGTTCAAAACATCACCAGAAAACATAGCATATTTTAAATAATCCATTTACCTATTCATTCTTTTAATTTAAAATAGAAATTATATCTTCTTATGACTGACTATAAAATTGTATAGCTTTTCAGTGAGAAGTAAGTATAGTGAAATAAACTTAATAACTGTACTCAAATTGTTTTTTAAAATAATAATGTTTTTATTATCTTGTAAAATGTTTTGTATAAGGTGCTGCAGTTTTTAGTCTTTTAGCAAATTTTAATTGTTAAACAAAAATTTTGAGTTTGATTGTATATATGTATGTATATCCTGTGCTTTCCTCTTATTTCTATTATCACTCATTTCTGTATTGAAAATAATTTAAACTACAAGAATGCACTGAATCTTCATTACACAAGTGTAAACTAAAAATACACATATTCAAAATTATGCATAATTAGGCTTCTTATGTAATCTGTATTATTAAACTGTATAATGAAAGTAATTTAAAACTAAAAAGTTTTCTTAATTTACTGGAAAATAATATTCTGTTAAACAGTAGAAGATCAAAAATTCACCTGCATCTGAATCTGCAAAGATGCTCAGATTTAAATGAAGTTCACATTTAATAAGATCCTTGAATCACAAAACTGTTTCCAAGGCTACATTGATAAATATATAACACAATTTATGGCCATACTAACTTTATTGAAACAGATTGGAATAGTAATAAACTTTGTGGAAAAGAACTGTTTCTTTATGCAAAGTAAAATGAAGAGGAAGTAGCAAGTGTTTCAAGAACTCAATATTATGAACTGAATGAGAAATTCTGGTAACTTAGGTTACTGCTAGATGCTTGATTATGAAACTATTGACAATATTTTAAATCTTTCAAGAATAATTTGATCATGATGGCAATATAGAAAAGTAAGTACTAACAGAATTCATCATAAGTAAATAAATTTGCAGTACTCTAGTTCTAAAGTTTATATAGAACCTTTATATATCTAAGTAGTAGGATTAAAAAAGTATCATTAGTTGCTTTAATATCCAGTTCTTTGACATGTTCTTTTATTACATTAAGATACTGTTTAATAAAAGCAGTTTGATTTTAATAGAAAACTCTCAGATGTTTTTATAATAATAGTAATTGTATAATTGATCAAGAAGTAATGCCTGTAAAACCCAGAATTGTTACTGTTTTAAAACAAATTGCTGTAAAACAGATACTTGAATAATGTAAAGAATACTTTTTTGTGTTTCTTTATATATATATTTTTATGTCTCTTGTTTTGCTATATAAAAATGTCAAAAAAAAACTGAATTGCTTTTAGGTGTTTTATTTATTTTACCTTTTTTAATCTAAGTCTAAGGATTCTTACTTAATGATATGAACTTCACAAAACTTTAAAATCAGCACAATCTCTTGTGAATTTCTGGTTATCTTCTACAACATTAAATTTTTGTCACAGTATATTGTTCATATTATGTGATAAAGGTAAAATTTATTTTTTTGTATTTCTTATGTGTATTATTTGATAATATTAAATATGTTTTACTCTTTTAGTTAGAAAAGCAAAAATGCTCTTGATTTGAAATGTATGATCATGAAATGAAGTTTTGAGTTTATAATAATGATTTATAGCAGTTGGTGACAGAAATTCTTACTTTACTTTGTTAAATAAAAACTGCAACATGTTGAATTTTATATAAAATTCATGTGTGTTCTATGTGAGGGATGTTTCATGTGCAATGCTTTTTTTGTATATTAAACACCTTTTATTTTTAAACATTTTCATTGGTGATTTGTGTTAAATTCAGAATTTAGAATGTAAATTTTGAATATTTTTATTGCTTACCTGTATTAAATTTGAAATTCAGAGCATGTCTTTTAATTAACTTGATAACATAATAACAATAATTTAATTAACTTGATAAACTTGCTAATATAAACATACATTAATTGTCATGTTTTGTTACCATATATTTTTGTTTATGCATTCTCTCCCCCAAACCAAAAAAAAGTTAATACAATTACTGAAAACACTGTGCATAGAATTCACTTTCTGCTTATTTAATTAATATTAAAATATAAAAGTAAAATGAGTCATTTAAAAGTTAAAGGTAATTTGTGCTTGCAACTGATGAAAGTATATGATTTTCCAGAAGGATTTCAATTCAGAATGTTTGCCAGTTTTCTGCACATTTATGCTTTCTAGGCTATTTGTAGTTCCCACTCTAAATATTTTCTATAACAGTCAAATAAAATTATTTTATCTCGTATGTTGAATGGATCATTTACTTGTAATATTTTATGTTTTGTACAGTCAAAAAACAATCTAGAAGTTTCTCTTAGTGTTGATGTTTTGATAACTTCTTATAACTTCTTGGTTATTTTAAGTATTAATAATAATTGCTAGAATATTGAATTTTATCAATTAAAATTTCTCATAATTATATACCTGGAAATGCATTCCATCAAAGGTTAATTTTTTGCTGTTATAATGAAGATGATTCTTTGATGGCTATTTTTGAAATATCTTAATTTTTGCTGTATTCAGAGCAATAATAAAAAATTATTTAGACATGAATAAGTGAAGGTCTGTTTTAAAGAAGGTTTTATTATGGTCTATCAGAACATAAAAACATTTGATCATATATGGATTATGCTGGCATAAATCCATATGAAATAAATTGCAATATTGATATTTGCAATATATTTTTGAATACTCTTCATGATATAGTTAAATTCTGAAGTATTGTTAAAATTTATTTATTGCAGATTTTATTATTTATTGTTGCATATTCAATGGATGTTGTTTTATCTTAATCCAGATAACTTAAAAAAATTATTATTTTGCTGTGTTTTATTATATATACAAGTTTGTATAGTGTTACTTTATGTGGTATAATTGCTGTACATTTTTAGTTTTATAAGAATTAATGAATTTTTAAATATTTAGCATTTTTTGTGGGTTATGTGCCAGTATTTGTAATAATATGAAACAATTAATTATTATTGTTTATATAATATTGTTATTTTTTGTTGCTATTGCTGATCATATATTAATATAGTTGCATTATATCATTTTAAACATTACTTATGACAGCAAACTCTTGTGAGAAACCAAGCTGCATTTTTATTAGTTTAGATTTTCCTATGTATTAACTGATAAGGATGCTGACCAAATAACAATAAAATACTATTAAATCTATTTGAGCATAAGAATATTTTTATACATGAAATATGAAAATTTATTTTTATGTAACCAGAATATAATAACACTTTAGTAAACTGTACATTTTTATTGAACAGAAATGTAGTATACACTGTTACTTTTTATAGAATTGAAAGCATTCACTGTATAATGAATTTAAAACATATCTGGCATAATGGATCATAATTTCTTTCATAAGTGTAATTTTCATGTAGTCTACTTAAAATTATTCTTTTATTAGTTTTTCATAATAGTAATCTTTTATAAAGCTAATTATCAGTCATTTTAGAAACATTTTGCATATAAAAATATATATCTCTGTTGACAGATAAATGGGATTATAATAAAATGCTCTTACTTTGCTATTTTATTTAATTGCTTTTCATTTTAAATTAGAACTTAGGCATGTACTTAATAGTGAGCGCTAGTAGTTTTCTGCATGTCAAAATTATTAAGTAAATTATGAAATTTTCTAGAAGTAATATTTTTAAGATTCAGTAATTAATTTATTTAATGTTAAGTAAAGTAATACATCAGCTTTTATAATTTTAAAAATTTAAACAATGAAGAAAAATATTTTATTTTCTTATTTTTATTGTGCCCTTTATGCAAGTCTGTGCACTTTCATGTTTAAAATCAAAATGTATTTCTTGTTAAAAATTCTAATATTAATATATATCTTTGTTTTTATCAGAATTGATTAGTTACTATTCTTGTGTGAATGTTTATATAAAAGATATATGCTGTTAGCTGTGACAAAGGTTTCTGAAATGGCTTCTTTTAAAAGAGTACTTGATAGCAGTTCAGTTGCACAGAGATTAGAAGCACATTGTTGAAACTGAGCATCTGATTATCTGACATATGTTTAAAAAATCTTTTGTAATATAATGCTATTAAAACTGTCATTAAACAATTATCTATTCTGTTTTTCTTTTGCTTCCACATACACATAATAGTATGTATAATTATGAACTGTATATTAAAGCAAATTACAAGAGTAACTAATCATGTTAGTTTATTACTGTAGCGTTACAATAATAACATTTAAGACAAGACAGGAAAATTTATTTTTAGTCCAAAGGGGCTTTGTCCCTGAAGGATTATTGTTTTTGTTTTGTGATTTAACATTGAAAACTTTAAAAGGCTGTATCACTTTTCAAATTGTTGCCACCAAATACTGTCGCCCTGTTTTATATTTGAAGAAATTAAATAATGAAGAATCTGCATAAATGTATGTATGTTTCTTGCATACATACATTTATGCAGATTACGGTACCTAGAGCCCATCCAGTTTTGAATGATGTATTCCTACTGCGAATATGGGCACCCGAAAGCCCAAATTTTAAATTTGGAATTTGTTTTATTATCGATTTCATATTTTGTAAAACTTTAATAAATTTTTGATTAACAAACTCAAGGATTTCGAAGCGAGCAATGGCAACATTGTACAGAAAAAAATATTTTTATCTCCAGGGCATCAGAAATTTTAAAGATATGCTCAATTTAAAAATTATTTTGCGATATTGCTGTTGAACTGAATTTTATGACTAAGTGTGGTGAACTTGATATTTAATGAATAAAGGTAACATGCGAAATGTTAAAAAAACGACCCTTTGGACATAATTTAAAATCTGGAACCTTTCAGATTCCTCCCCCTTTGTTAAATCTGTTTTGTTTTTATAAAAATTGTTTAATTTATTAAAAACTGTAAAATCTGTTGCATATGACTATGTGGATTAAATTAAACGTGTCTTTTAATATAATACAGCTGCAGTGTGCCCTCGTTATCACAGATACCAAGAGACTAAAAAATCAAGAGTTTGCATTAACTGGGCACTCAGATTTAGTTTTTAAAATCTAGTTTTTCTATACATTAATCATTTGCAATATATATGTACTACAGTTTATTATGTGTGTCTTCACAAAAACATTACAATGTTACATCAATAACTGTACTGTAAGAAAATGTCGCAGATCTTTTTCTGGAGAAAATTCCTGTGTACTGACTGCACTATGGCAGACAGTAATATAAATGTCGAACCAACTAATACTTATGAAGTCTGTAAAACTAGCAATCAGTTTAGATGTTGCAATAAAACGTTCTAAAGGGTGGGTGGGCAAAATGATACTGTCTTTCTCGTTTTCTTCTGCTAACATTTCTTGCACATCAGTCAGAACTGCTTTTATATCACATTCTTCTGGAGAACACATGGTAATATCATCATCTTCATTTACAAACTACTCAAAACTAATGCCAGGGTTCACAATGTCTTATGGAATATTCCATTAATCAGGTGAAGTGATATCGTTGTCACCATCCAACTTTGTCAACAGGATTAATGTCTTTGTCTCTAGACCCTGCTAAAACAGTTCTGTATGTGTTGTGATGTCACGGATTTCCAGGATGTGCGACAGCGATAGCTGTTATTGTATCAAGCACACTCCAACTTGCCATTTCCATCCTTTTTACAGCACAAATGGTAGCCCTCATAAGTCACTTGTGATAAGACCTTTATAAAAACAATAATGATGTAATCCCAAAACTGAAGAGAACTTGTTGAATTTGGGAAGTGAACCTTTACATTGCTTAAGTTCAGTAATTCATATTATGAATGTACATCTGTCCAATGCCATAAGAACATGCCTGAGCCACCATTCAACTATTAAAAAAAAAAAGAATTATGATAATCTGTTAATAAACCTTTCTTAAGGAGAGAAAAGATGTAAGATAAAGTACTGTCTATATTCTTAAACAGCATGGTTTTTGGGAACTTTACGGATCATCCAAAGACTGTTTATTACTGCTATCTGTATTACAGGCAAGCAGAACAGTTTTTTGCAATGCCACTTGTCACCTTTCATTCCGAGAGTACAGTATGGGAAAAAATAAAAGTCCAGTTTTGTCCATATTGTAGACATCACTTTTTTTTTAGGTATACTTTTCTCTCACTTGGTCAGATTCGTGTAACTAGTTGTTTGTTCCTTCATCAACTTTTATTTGCTTTACCATAAATTACTAGCAATGAAATCAACTGTCCAAGAATAAAAAGAGCGTTGGAGCGCACTGAAAATTCATATGTAATCAAACCACAGTCCAATAAATTTATGTAAATATGATTCATTTGAATTTTAGGTGGGAGGAGACGAATAACAGGGAAAAAGTTAGAAAGTTTGTGTTAAATAAAAAGTCTAATGATGCAACGGATTGAAAAACACTTCGTTATTTGTGCTAACCGAAATTCGCATTGATCTATAAGATCATGTAAAAAAAAAAAAAAAAAGTGACAGTTCTATATATCCCGTTCTACTGGGCCGATTGACAAAATTCAACTCTCGTCTTTTAAGTCTCGAAAGCACGACTTGAAGCTATGTATTAGATTTATATATAACATTGTAAAGCATAGGTATTATTTATATATAGCCTAGTTATTTTGATACAAATTCTGACTTTTTCTGAGATGACATACCATTTTTTTCCACATTTCGATTTTATGACTTAAATTATGCCAAGTTTTGTAAAAATCACAAGAGTAGTTTTTAAAAAATTAGCTCTCAAAATTTTAGCTGCTCAATGTTAATTGAATTTGATAGATATTTATTTATAATATTTCTTTTTTAAAACTTCCTTTCACATTTCGAAATTTTGGTTCATTTCAAATAAAATTCGCCCATTTTTATGATTTATTTTTAAAATTTGTATTGTTAAATAATTTTTATGAATTTTTTGAAAAAAATTTTGAATTATAGCCTGTAAAACTTTTAACATCATCTTAAAGTAGATGTATTTCTAGGCACAACATACAAGCATTTTTGCATCATTTAAACTTTAAATATGTTTAGAATTTGTAGCTATATGACCATTTTTATGAGGCAGTGGTTACCAAAATAAGTGTTGTGATGAGAACCATGCCTAAATATTTGTTCACTTGAGGCAAAGAGGTAAATGCATGTCCCAATATGCAATGCAAGAGAGAAAGGAAAAAATATAGATGTGTAAAATATGGAAGAAAACTAACATCTTTAGTTTGGCAATAATCCTTTTAATTCCTCATTTTAATCCGTCCTAAAAGTAGAAATTGTAATAACATTCTGGACTCCGTATTATCAAAATTAATTTGTTTCATGCTTGTTCATGTAATCCTGCAAAGCGACAACTCAGATCAAAATTTCAACCAAGGAACTAAATATCGCTGCTACTAGATGCGCAGCTCTTTTTCCCCACTTTGCTTGCCGTTACCAACAAGTGGTTCTCATCGCTCTGGTTTGCCCATCGTTCAAAGATGTAAACGGCTACATAAAATTGTGGCGTGCATAGCGCAGCCATGATAATGATGTGTGAACCTATTTGTGCTTATCGAGGCTTGCGGAATAAACCTATGCTGAATCATGGAACAGAATCAATCTAAAAGCTTTCTTCTCCACTATGCCAACTTATGAAGCTGTTTTCAGTTCCTCAAATTATCTACAGAATTATTAAAAGTATAATTAACTCGGTCCCGATAACAGAAACTGTTTCATTATTATAATGAAAGTAATATAAATAGGTATTACATTAATTTGTTAAGCAATTTTAGCCCAAAGGGATTATTAGTATTGAAGCAGGATTTTGCGTGGAATCGTTATGCATGCATCCTTTCACTTTTCATTTGAGTCTGTTGCCATTCGGCAAATTATAAGATATTTACTTTTGAAATTGAATCTGTCTGTTGTGGATTAATAAACCAAACTATTTGAAAGCAATAGATGCAGTTCTTAAGAATATTTCTTTCTTACTTTTGAATCAGATTGATTTAAATAATAAAAATGTATTTATTCATGATCTGCATTTTTAAAAAATTTTCAGCATTTTCATGGTTATATATTTTTCATTATTTATTTCATATTTTGCAAAACTTTACTGGTTTTTTAAATAATAAGCTCAATGATTTTAAAGCGAGCTGTGACAACACTGTACGGAGAAAAATATTTTAATCTCTAGCGCAGGACTGTCTATCGGAAATTCTAAAGATATGCTGTTTTTAAATATTTTGTGGTTTTGCTGCTGAACTTCATTTTATATGGAGTTAATGCGAAGAACATGATATTTAATGAATAAAATTAACATACAAAACGTTAGTAATGCCACTTTACTAAGAAAATTGAATACTGATTTGATGAAATGAGAGAAGACTGAAAATATAAATGCATTCCTACACTTAAGACTGCATCGGGAGTTCCAAACAAACACTGTCTATGCTGCTGTCAAAATTTTTGTGATTTTGCTTTTGAATTGTGCATGGTGAAAGTGCGAAGAAAACGATGCTTTAATAAAGCTAAAAAGAAAATCGTTTGCAGGGAATGAGTGTGACAGCAGAAAAATCAGACCTTTCAGATTTTTTTTTTTTTTTTTTTTTTTTAGATTTTCCCCAAATTTACTTAATCACGGAATTTATATTCTGTAGAGAGATTGGCCATGTTGTAATTTCTTTTTTTCTTTATCTAGTGAAGCTTTTATATAATTTTTTAAGTCTGTTGAGGTATTTATTTATCTCTATAGCTAATTTTTTTCATTTCTCAAAAATATTTTCAGAAATGTTACATTCTCTCATCTGGTATAAAGAAAACTATAATCCCTGTATTAAGAATACGGATTTATATATAATTATATAAACAATAGTTTTTGATCATAAGACATTATTCACCCTTTCTATTAATGTATTAAGTTCCCGCATATAATACGTAATCAATTTTAATTAATTTTCTTCAAAATGCTATTATTTTCACTTCAATGCAATGATTTACCATTTACCGTTATATCTTTTAAAGATTGATGTTCTTCGGTAATTTATAGAGCCGACTCTTTAACAGCGCTTACTTTTGATGCCCATTGCGTATCCGTGTAACCTTTTAATGTTGTTTTAAAACGTATGCAATTTC